AGAGAAATCTGCTGTAATTCTGATGGGTGTTCCCTTGAGAGTGATCTGTTTCTTGTCTCTGACAGCTTTTAATATTCTGTTCTTGTATTGAATTTCTGGAATTTTAATTATTATATGCCTGAATGTTGCTCTGTTTGGGTTGTAGGTGGCTGGGGTCCTGTATGCTTTATACAACTGAGTATCTTTACCTTTTGCTAAATTAGGAAAATTCTCCTGGATTATTTCTGTAAGTAGCTTTTGTAATTCATTTGTTTGTGTCCCTACTTCTTCTTTTATGTTCTTAATTCTTAAGTTATGGATCCTCTTATCATCTTCTTGTCTTTGTATTATTGCTGTTTGTTTCTTTGTTACTTTTAAGAAGTTTTTCATTTCATTCTCCCATATTACTAATCTGCCCTCCAGCTCAGATAGTCTGTCCTTAGTTTCTTTCAAGCTGTTATGCCAGTTTTCGATAGAGTTCTTAGTTTCCTTGTAGTCTCTTTGAACCTGCTTCACGTATTCTATGCTTTCTCTATTTTCTCCATCAAACAATTCTCCCCTCTTTTTCTGATTTTCCATTCCACCATCTGTTTTTTCTTGGGTGGTACTTAGCATTTCTCTAACTATTCTGCTTATTTCTAGCTTCAGGTCATTAATAACTTCATTCCTGAACTGATCTATGAGGCTCTCTAGATGGCACTTTATGTCTATTGGTGCGGTGTCCGCTATTGCCTGTTTCTCAGGATTGGGGGCCGAAGGGCCTTTCTTGTTGTTGCTCCCTCTTCCCATATTCTTTGTTCCTTATATATGCAAGCGTATATAGGAGGCCCAGCTTCCTTTTCTGTCAGCCACAGTCTGATTGAATCTCGCCAGCTAGGGGTTCCCGCCCACCGCAGCACACCAGGAAGTTGCAGATCAGGCAGCCTATGCGGGGCCCGGCCCTCCAGGTCACCCTCAGGCTCTGGGATCTGGGTTGTGCTCGCCCAGTGGGTCTCAGCCAGCAGTGTCACGTAGGCTAGGCTCTTCTCACCAATCCCGCTTGAGAGGGGGGTACGTGGCTGAAGTCCCCGCAGCACCCTGCTCCCGCAAGTCTGCCCAGTCCCAGAATGTCCTCTGTTGGAGTCTCCCAAACCGTGGGAAGAGTGTCAGTTTCTCTCACTCACCTCACTGCAACTCTGTTCGCCCGATTCCCGTTCTCAGAGCGAGTCTCTCTCCCTGCCGAGCTGATGTAGACGCAGCCGCCGCGCGGTGGGAAACCCAAATCACGGCTTCTAATGGTGCAGGCTCCAGCTTCCACACTGAGGCTTTTCTGTTCCTGTTATAGCACCAGGATTGCACTCCAAGTTGGTTTCTCTCAGCCCAGTTCGTTCTTGGGTTAGCAGGGCATATCTCCACCTGCTCACGACTCCTTACTCCGCACCCTTCCTGAATTCCAAGCTGGTTCTTTCAGAGAGCCTCCATAGCTGCTGCTATCTGTCCGCCATGTTCTCCCAGAAGTCCTGAATCAATTCTTATAAAGAATGTTCTGCTTACTATGTTGGCAGATTTTAACACATTCAAGAAAGATATTTATCCATCTTCTTTTTTAGTTAGGAACTTGAAGATTCTTGAACATGGTCATTTTGAATAACATCTAAAACCTCCATTTGTTGTGAGCTTTTATCCCCATGTTTCTATAAAAGACCAGATAAATCCGTAGTTTAACAAAAAGTGCAGCTTGTGTTTGGTCTTGTCAATGAAGTATCATGCTTTTTCTAGAATATTTTGGGTTCTGTGGCTGTGGTAGTTTGAACAAATGTTCTTTCCATCTTCCAAATACACAGGTTAAATACCTGGAAGCTGTGAATGTAACCTTTATTCAGAAAAAGAAGTCTTTGCAGATTTAATCTAGCTAAAGAGTTTGACTTGAAACCATTCTGGATTATCAAGGTGGACCCTAAGTCTAGTTTAAAATCTTTATCATAAACATATGGTAAAGGCAATGTGAAGATGGAGACAGAAATTTAAGAGATAACGTAGTGAAGAGCCCTACAACACCTAAGCCACCAGGTTGTAATAAGGAAAGAAATGAATTCTCCCTTTCAGCAACTTCTCAGAAGGATCTAGGCCCTGCCAGATTTCAGACATCTGACCTACAGAAATCCAAACTAAATATCTATTCATAGTAATTTGTTAGAGCAGTCCTAGGAAGCCAATAAAACAGCTGACCTTTGAGTCATGCTTCCCTTCTCTTAAAGTCATACTTCTCTTCTTTTAAAAAAAGTGTTTTAGGAAACATTTATAAGGTTTCCTAGATGCCTAAGGTCCATATACTGAACCCACTGTATACATCTTTTAAATTACATTTTGTAATTTACTGTCAATTCCAGATGAGGAACAAAACTGCTTATGGTATCAAACAAAATTTGTAACAATTTAAACTGCAGAAAGTGAGTTTAAAAGAAATTCTTAAGCCATGCATGATGGTGCATGCCTATATTCCAGCACTCAGGAGGCTGTGGCAGGAGTGTCACTGTGAGTTCAAGGACAGCCTGTACTACATGGTAAGACTCTGTCTTACAAAAAGAAAAAAGAAAAAAAGAAACTCTTACAACATCTCAGTTCTCTTAGTTGATACTTTTGAGCCAAAACTCTTGAGACATATAGCTCTCTGAAATAAAAGGTTGTATTGGGCTCTTATAGTCTCAAGTAACAAAATAATGGGGAAGACAAGTTCTCATGTGTACAGCTGCAAGGTTAGACGGCTTTGCCATTATGTCCTAGACTAATAAGTCAAGAGTATTTTTATAGTGATAATTTGGGGAAAGAAAGCAGGAATTGTTTACACCAAATATATAATGGTTACAGAAAAGAGAGATGAAAATGGGAAGCCAGAAGAGTTTTGGAATAGAAAGACCATGCATAAGCAGTACTTTTAAGCACGATGTGATCATGCTTGGTGTTCTTGTCATCTCAAGTTTCAATATCTACGTAGCATTCTAGAATGTTGGACACCTTTTTCTTTAAAAAAAGATTTTTTTGTGACAAGGTATTAATACATAGTCTAAGCTCTCAAATTTGGCCGTCCTTCTTCCTCATCTTCCCAAGTGTTGGAATTAAAGATGTGTACCAATATGCCCAACCCATGTGGGATATTTTTTGTTTGCTTGGCCTATGGCTTATGACTGATTAACTTCCTTTATCTTTTCTCCCCTTCATCTTCTGACCCTTAAATTTAGGATATCTCAGATTTTTTGCTCTTATCATTTATCTCTTTACATTGCTGAGGCAAGAAAAAAAATTATAGAACTTGACAGAAGACAGGAAACACATTATGAAGGCACCATTATATGCATGCATGGAACTATCATAATGAAACCCATTCATTTGTACAATTAAATGCACACATAATTACAACAAAACATATTAAACACAAAAATTATAGAACTCTTAAAGCTGTATGTACCGTCATGTTCTTGATTTACCTATGCTAGCCAACTATTATGTTCAGAAGCATAAAGTTCTAATTTTGCACCTTAATAACACGAATCTTAAATTTAGTTCACATAAGATCAAAAAAGATCTGAGGCAGGAAGGGTGGAGCTCGCATGTAATCCTAGCACTCTCTGAGGTTGAAGCAGAGGATCCCAGCTCCAGCACACAACTTGGGCAACTCAAAGACTTCATAAGACTCAGTGATTTTGTGAGACTATCAAAGAGAGAGAGAGAGAGAGAGACAGAGACAGAGACAGAGACATTCAAAAGTCTGCACTGTTCTAACAATTGCTTAGAATTTTGGACATACCATTTGTGACTTTTGACTTTAACAAACAGGTGTCAGTGATCTGAGTAAAGAAAACTAGCTACAGACACGCACAAAGGGTTATTATTAGCATCACTGAATGGTTTGGGCAATCTTGTCACTAGCATCTGTGGTCCACTTTCAAAGGTATGGCAAAACGTCTCTGGGCTATTTTACTTTCTAATTCCACTTTTATCTTGAAACGATCTTGAACAGCATTCCTTTGAAAGGAGCGCTGGGCTATTCTGTTTTGATTCCGAGTGTAATCAGACAGTCTCGCGCCGGGTCAGGGTTCCCCGTCCGTGCTCAGCTTTCAGGCGTCACCCACAAAGCTCGCCCAGGAAAGCTGAGACTGCGCTGCCTCCCTTCGGTCAACAGCGCAGACAGACACTTGGGATTCTTCCCCGGACAGTCATTATTGTTTTTCGCCCCGACAGAATGTTGGTCACAATCCTCCCGCACTATTTCTACGCGCCCGCGACCCTTTACAAGCTTCCAAAACACAGAAACACTATTGGTCCAGCAAGCGATCGCGCGCGCTTTGTGGGTGGGGTCTCCTTCTCTGTGGGCGGGGTCTCCGGGCCGCCGCATCTAGGCCCCGCCCCTTTCGCGGACCAGCGGTTGGGGGCTTAGGCGGACGCGCGCGTCGGCGCCCTGGAGACCGGCGGCGGCACGGGCAGCCCGGAGGGGCGGGGCCTGCCGCAGGGGCAGGGCTCGTTGCGCCGCAGGTTGAGGCGCGCACCCTGGTGGTGACGGGGAGGTCTGACCATGTCGTGGCGCAGCGCGTTGCTGGCGGGGTCGCGGCTGGTCGGTCGCCGGGGTGTCTCGGCGGGGCAGCTCCGCGGGGCTGTGGGCGCTGGAGGAACCGCGGCCTCTGGGTACGCCGCGAGATCGGCGGGACGGGTCGTGTGACGCGGAGGACTGGGGCCATTTGCAGGAAGCGAGGGAGAGGGTTGCAGGACCCACCAGGTCGCGCGCCAGGCCCGGCCGCGAAGGGGAGCGTGGACTTGGGGGGGGGGTCCTGTCTCCTCTGGCTTACTCCAGTCGCCTGGGCAACCCTGCGTGGGATGCTAGGGAACATACACGACCCCCTGACCTGTTGCGATTGCAGGTAAACAGGGGCAGAGCGTTAGTACGCGTGCATGGGCGTGCTTAAAACGGAACGTGTTCACTGTTGATCAGAAATTCTAATTTTACCGGTCATCATTTAGTTTTATCTGTTAAGTCTGGCAACCCCTCCTCAGGGAGTGAAGGTGACTGGACCTAGTGAAAGGCCGAGGCTTTCCCATTGTTTCTGGCTGGGAAAAAGGCGGTGCTTTCCTGACGCTTCTCTGCGGGAGAGGCGCCTCTCGATCCTGCCGCTTGGCGTCTTCGTCCCAGCCAGCACGTCCGCTCACCGTCTTGGAGTATCCCACTGCGTGGTATCCGAACTCTTTAAGTCTCCCTACCAACCTAGAGACCCTCCTGATCCAGTCGCATCAGTGTTCCACTTAACTTCCTTTGTGCATGACCTCTCCTTAACAGCTGATAGTTTTTATCAACCTCAACTAGTAATTGAAAGGAAAAGGATGCCTTTCTGAAATTAAGTGTGTTTGGAAGGGAAGTGGGTAATTTTTTGGAATTCTCCTGGATCTCGTTATCCACGAAAAAATTTTCTTCGGTAAGTTCTACAGAAGAGGTTCAGTAGTAAATGCTGTATTGGGTGGTTTGAAGATGGTTAAGTACTGTGAATTATACCATCCAAATACTCTTCTTGGGTCCAGGTCAGTGCTGCCTAACCCTTTCTTTTCTGGGTTAACTTCATTAACTCAGGTTTTCCTCCAAACTATCTCTTCCTTTCAAGGTGACTGGACTTTTCCTATTTGTAGCCTCTTTTTGATATAAGCACACGTGTCCTTTGTTTTAATGGTGTTCTTGCTAATCTAGTGGGAAAACAGGAAATTATCCATGGCAGGCATTGTGTATGTATGATTTGTTGTAATTTATTGTAATGTTTCTCTGATTCATCTTTGTTATACCTGAAGGTTATGTGTGTTAAGCTTCCTTATTCTAAGTGTGCTGTGTCACTAGAGCATAGCCTCACCATCGAATGATAATATATACGGGAAAAGCCATTTATTAGGCATGGTGTTCACATATGTAATCCTAGCATTCATGGAGGCTAAGGCAGGAAGAGCTAAAGTGTGGATCCTACCTGGCAGTTTATTGAGATGTTATCTTAAATAAAATAGAAAAGTAACGGAGCTTGAAGAATATAGCTCAAGTGGCATAAGTGTCTGCCTGGCTAGCACAAGGTTCAATTCCCAGTACCAAAAAAAGGAGCTTGGGAGTTGGCTGAGCGGTAGAGTGCCCCTGGGTTTGATCCCCAGTCTGGGAATTTGGAAGGGATAGACTGAAGTTTTATGCTATATAGTTTTTAAAAATTTAAAACTTTTTTTTTTTTTGGCACTAGGGATCCAACTCATGATCTTGTGCTTGCCAGGCTGGTGCTTATGCTGCGGAGCTAAATCCCTGGCTCACCAAAATTTGAAACTTGTGAGAAAAAAAAGAAACTAAATGTAAACATAGCTTACTTCTATATGTAATAACAATAAAATTTAAATGCAAAGAACAGGATTTAGAGGGAGCATTTTTCTATCAAAACTTTTTTTTCTTTTTTTTTCAACAGGGTCTTGCTACGCAATTCAGGTGGCCTAGAACTCACTTTGTAGCCCAGACCGGTCTTGAACTCACAATGATCCTCTTGCCTCAGCCTGGAGTGCTGATATTATAGGCACGCGCCACCACACCCTACCAAAATTGGAGTTCTTAACCATAATTTCTTTTAATTTAAAAATTATTTAAACTTTCAGTTTATTATCTTATTCTCTTGGTACATAGATATTTGAGTAATTCTCTTTAAGATTTATAGATTAGTAATTTCACTTTACAGTTAGTTTGCATCATGAAGTTTTGCCTGCTTCTACAGTACAGTAAGGTCTGGCTCACCAAGGAAGATCAGTAGGGTGAAGAAAGGTTCTAGGAATAAGTGGAGAGATTTGATGACATCTAACTGCTCAGGGTCATTGATGAATATCTTCCTGATTAGTCAATGCCTCTTTTTTTTTTTTTTTTTTTTTTTTGTCTTTTTCGTTTTTATCGGTACCAGAGATCGAACTCACGACTGCCTGCTTGCAAGGCAGACACTTATGCCGCTGAGCTAAATCCCCAGCCCCTAGTCAATGCCTCTTTTTACAAGCTTCCAGCAGCTGGGTTTTAGATAATAAATGCTGACATGATGAAAGTCAGAGAAATTAATAGTAATACTAGATGTCAGTGAATATTTATTATATGTAAGACCCAGTTCTATTTTATATAGCAATTCCTTTGTTAAAAAACCCTGTGAGATAGAAGTGATTATTGATACCTCCCCCCCTTTTTTTTCCTCATAGTGCTGTGTCTATTGTTCCCATTTTGTTGACTGGAAAATTTGGGATATATAGATTCATTGTAGTTGAAATACTTTAGTTTAAAATGTCCACCCCTCTCCCCCATGGTACAGGAATTGAACCCAGGACCACTCAAGCCTCAGAACTACATCCCAAACCCTTTTAAAAGTTTATTTTGAGGCAGGGTCTTAACTGTAAATTTCCCTGGCTGAACTTGAGCTTGCAGTCCTGCCTTAGGCTTGAGTAGCATGGGTTATGGGCATGTGCTACCATGCTCAGCTTAAAAATCTTTGTAGGTTCCTTTCTTCACAGAGTGATCATCGAGTTTTGTGTGTTTTAAGAAGGAAATGAAAGCCATGTTTTTAAACCAATGGTCATACTATCAGTAGGACAGCATATTTATAATTTCATGGTTATGAATTTACCAATAAGAAGATACCAACTTTAAACATAGTGAATGTGATTTCATCTTTAAAAAAAGAAAGAAACCCTTGGGAAACTAATCAGATCAGCACAAAGTCTTTTTGAAAGTTTTAGTAAACAAATACTTTGTGAACTAATATTTTGTATTGGTAAAGTAAATTTTTTCTTCTATTTTGTATGTTTGGATATATTTGTATTTAAAAGCTTTCTTCAAATGGGACTTAGATTATGACTTAGTAAATCTACTGCCCGTTTCAATTTCTTTTAGGATGGGGAACAGCACGTCATCTTTGGGGGAGTCAGCAAATACACCTGTGAAAGAGATCCAGGTGAGTAATGGTGGGAGACTTAAGAAAATTTTTCTTTGCAGAAAAAGAAGTGTTTTACATACTTAGTATGCTTCCTCATTGTCTAATAGTTCATCAAATGAATTGCAAAATTAATATTTAAGTTCTACCCTCAAATAATTCACACGACAGTAAAGGCTTATATCATTTTGGTAGTCAAAATTTATGAAGCTTATTCTGTTTCTCTTTGGTACTGGGGATTGAACTCACGACCTCGTGCTTGCCAAGCAGGCATTTAACGCTGCTGAGTTAAATCTCGGGTCCCCATGAGGCTTATTCTTAAAGGAATCTTTACTGCACACTGGAGCTATGATATTGACTGCTGTTTTTCAGCATATCCATGACAAGTCTACCATCAGTACCAGTCAGGCTGTCCATAGCCAGGGGTACTATCTGATTTGGCCTGGGCATTTGTTTACCGGCTCTCTGCTTTAACACAGAACCTAGAGTGTAATAGGATTACTGCATACTGATTGTTACTCCATAAACAACCTCCTCAGGGATACTATGTATAGTTCTTTTTTTTTTTTTTTTGGTCTTTTTCCTTTTTATCGGTACCAGGATTCGAACTCACGACTGCCTGCTTGGAAGGCAGGCACTTATGCCGCTGAGCTAAACCTTCAGCCCCTGTGTGTATAGTTCTGTTGTAATTGCATTTCCTCTCTTCTTTTGCTGCCAAAATTAGATAATTCTGCCTCAGAAAATTCATACATACATTTTTTTTTCCTTGCAGTTTCTTTGTCATACTTTTCTTTCTCTTCCTTACCACCTCCTAGCACCACATATAAAAAGTTTCTGCCTTGGTTTAGGGGTGTACTGCTGTGGTAGGTTTTGTGCCTGTGCAAAGCCCTGAGTTTGATCTACAGACACACAATTTACATTTAATTGAGTTAGCCAAACTTAGTTTTTGAGTGTACCAGTAATGCTGGAAACATTGTGAGGGAATTATAAGCTAAAAATGTAGCTTTATGAAATATTGACAAGAATGAGCTTTAGAAAAGGTGGGGTATGGGTTCAAGAAACCCTAATACTGTCATTTTGAGTTCCAATTTATTTTGGCACTTCTGTATTAGTGTTTCACCCAGTGTCAGCACCCAGCATTCTCCTCTCTTTCTAAAGTAAATGATGGTCACAATGTGCCTGTAACTTGAGGCAGCATGGTGGAAGAGCATTAGCTTTACTGTTGTGAGAGGGTTGGGTCAAATCCAAATATTATGAACATTTCAGCTTCAATTTTTTTCTCTATAAAATGGATTCATCAATACATCTGTGGTACAGCTGGTCTTCTCTGAAATAGACTTTTATACCAAATAAAGTAAGGAGAAGGGAACGCATAAAAATGGATCATCTTGTAGATAGGTAGTCTGTAACTTAGAACTCTTAGGACACTCAAGGATAGGCATAATTTCTGAGGTACTTTGTCTGGGTAATGTGTTTTCTGTCTTAGGCTATTATCTTGAAGGTGTTGCTATGACCAATCACATAAGAACAGCCTAGACAGATACCTGGGTGCTCATCTTAACCATTTAAAATCTATGTGGATACTAGGCCTATCCAAAATCTTTTCAAGGACCCAAACATATATATATATTTAGAAACAACAACAAAACTTAACAGGCTGGGCAAATGTATGTACCAGAGTCTCATCTCATCATCATTTGGGGCAAAGTGCTAAGAATAGTGTCTGGTACATGGAAGTGTTTGTTGTAATGAACTGGATCTACTTTGAAACTTTTTATTACTGTTCCATGTCAGGCATTATTTGTTACACTTCTGTTGCTAATAGAAATTCGAAATAAATAATATCCTAAACCTGCATGTATTAAAGTGCATCATAGAAACTTTGAGCCATAAGTTAGGAGACTTGAAAATCTATAGGCTTTCCACAATTTCTTTCTAAAACATAATTTCTTTCTAAAACATGACATCCAAAGTTAAAATGAGTTTTTGTTTTATCTCAGGAAATAATTTCTAATAATTGTGTGGTGATTTTCTCAAAAACATCTTGTTTTTACTGTACAACGGCAAAAAAGATTTTCCACGACATGAATGTTAATTATAAAGTGGTGGAATTGGACATGCTTGAATATGGGAGCCAGTTTCAAGATGCTCTTTATAAAATGACTGGTGAAAGAACTGTGAGTACATCCTTACCTTTGTCAACCCTTATCCTATAACAGATGTGACTTGGATCACCTGGCATCTAGACCAGTGGTGGCAAACCTGTGACACATATGCTGTAGCTGGCATGCAGAGGTCCCTCCGCACATGAGTTGAGCCGCTCCAGCATGCCCCAGTGGCTGAACTTTGAATAACAGTGCCTGTATGGGTAGTGTTGGCACTTTGAGATAAATAGGTGGGGTTGGGATGCAGTTTCAGCCCTCAGTCTCTAAAAGGTTCACCATCACTGATCTAGACCTTCATGTTAGGAAAAGTGAGCCAGACCTCTGAGGTTCATTTGCTTACAAATGACTCCACGTTATCCTTATTTCTGGCAGAATAGTACTCTATTGATAAAGAAATGGCAGATCTGGAATCTAGATTCTTAGAGTAGGAATCTGTGAAGTTAATTTTTTATTCTTATTGCACGTGTGTTTTGACTAGGATGAGTTGGGTAATGGTGTTGTGATAACCACTTGTCTATGGAACGTCACACCCTTTTGAAACTGTATGTAGTATGAAAGTATTGCTCTTCCCTTTAGTTTGTAGAGTACAAAACAGGGATCAGTCTCCATTTACTGTGATATAGAATACTTTAGTGCTCCATATTTTCTTTTCAATTTTTATTATTTGTACATGTTTGCAGAACATAATGATCACGTTCCTCATACTGAGTTAATATATATATATAGAACACATCTTAATCCCCCCCCCCCTTTTCCCCCTCCGTGATCCTTTTCCCATTTGTAAAAGACTGTGTCTCCTTATTTCTCACTAACTATCTTTTATTTTGCTCTTTATTTATATTTTGGGTTTCTCATATCAGATAGACCATGTAATATTTAAGTATGTGTATCTGATTTATTTCAGTGAATATTACAGTATCAAAGTGCATCCAAGTGCTTACAAATGACTCCACTTTATCCTTATTTCTGGCAGAATAGTACTCTATCATGTATAAATAACACATTTTCTTCACCCATTGATGTATAGGCCACTTTCAAGATTTAGCTATTGTAAATTGTGTTGCTATAAACATGGATATGCATGTATCATTAAGATGATGTCTTCAACTTTTGGGGAAGATTCCTAGAAAGAGAATATCTAGATTAAATGAAATTTCTTGTTGTAGCTTTTTGAGCAGTCTTTGTACTGATTTTCATGATGGCTACAGAGTTTATATTCCCACTAATAGCACAGAAGGATTCCTTTTTTTCCCACAGCCTTGTCATATGTTATAAGTTTTACTTATTTTACCTTCTAGCAGATTGTTTTTAATATTTATATCTTTGATCTGTTTTGATTTTAGTTTAGTAGCTGATGAGAGGGGTCTAGATTCAATATTCTGCATGTGGATAGCCAGTGTTCCCAGTGCTTTTATTATTTATTAAATAGGGTATCTGTCTGCTAACATAGTTATGGCCACTTTGTCAAAGATCACATAGTTGAATGTGTCTGAAATTGTTTCTACATCCTCTATTTTGTCCCATTGATCTACATTTCTATTTTTATACCAGTACCATGATGCTTTTATAACTCAAAATTTGGGATTATGGTGCCTCCTGCTTTGCTCATTACCTAGGATTGTTTTTGCTATTCTGAATCTGTCTTTTGTTTCCATTATGAGTTTAGGATTTTCTCCACTTCTTTGAGGATTGCTTTCGGTATTTTGATTAAGAGTGAAGTAAGTCTGCGTATCAGTTTTGGAAGTATGTCCATTTTGACTATATTTCATCTGCTTATCCAGGAACAGGGGATATCTTCCCTTTTTTTGATGTCCTCTTTGATTTTTTTTTCAGAGTGCTGTTGTTTTTGTTGTAGAGGTGTTTCACTTCCTAAGAAGAATTTTTAATTCTTCTTGATGTTCCTTTCTTGATAAGTTCACTAGGGTGTGCAGGAATGCTATTGATGTCTCTGTGTTGTTGATTTTATATCCTGATTCATTGCTCAATATGGTTATTTTTCTAGGAGACTTCTGATAGCATTTTTTGGTCTTAAATGTAGAGGATCGTGTTTGTCTGCAAATAATAATTTGACTTCTTTTTCCTAGATGTGGCCCTTTTATGTTTCTCTTTCCTACTTGTTCTGGGGAGTGTTTTGAGTACTACATTGAACAAAAGTGTTGATAGTTGGCATACTTACTTCATTCCTGATTTTAGAGGGAATGGTTTCAGGTTTTCCCCATTTAATATGTTGGCTATTGGTTTGTCATAAATGACTTCTGTCAGATTCATTAAGGTCCTTCTATACCTATTTTCTTCAGGTTTTTTAAAAATCATGACTGGATGTTGGATTTTTTCAAAAGCCTTTTTTACGCCTATTGAGATGATCATGTTAATTTTTTTGTCCTTGTTTCTGTTAATGTGTATTATATTTATTGATTTGCATATGTTGAACTATCCTTGCACTCCCGAGATGAAGCCTACTTGGTCATAATGTATGATGTTCCTGTTGCTTTATTTCCTTTTGTTTGCCACTATCTTGTTGAAGACAATTGCATGTATGTTCTTTAAAGAGATGGCCTGTCACTCTATTTTTTTGCTTGGATGGTTGAGTGATTTTGATTTTAGCTTCCAGGAGATGACCTTGGAAGTATTTCTTCCTTCTCCGTTTCATTAGAGATTGAAGACCATTGATGATAGCTCATCCATGAAGTTCTTATGGTATTTTGCAGTTAACCCATACAGACCTGTGCTTTCCTTAGTTGGCAGGTTTACTACATCACTTTTATTGCCTCTTACTGGGTTTTACACAAATTTTTTTATATCTTCTTGGTTCAGTTTTGAATTCATGTATCTCAGAAGCGGTCCATTTTTTCGTGAATGTTCCAGTTAATTGGAATATAATTTTTTGAAGTAGTTGCTAATAATCTGGATATTGGCAGTACCCAGTGTGATTTCAGTTTTTTTCATTTTTGATTGCATTGAGTCTTTTCTTTATTGTTTTTGGTAAGATTGGCTAAGGGCTTGTCTGTTTTTTCTTTGAAAGAAATAGCTGTTCAAATCATTCTTTTATAGTCTTAATTTTATTAATTTCTGATCTTTATAATTTCCTTCCTTGTACAGCTTTGAGTTTTTCCTTGTTTTTCTAGGACACTGATATGCATCATTAGGTTACTTGGATTCACATCGTTTTTCTCATGTGAGCATTCACAGCTATAAACTCTTATGACTGCTTTCATTGCGTCTCCTAGGTTGTGGTATTATCATTGATTTACTGGCATTATTATTTGATTTGATTTTAGGAACTTCCTTGATTTTTTTTTTGAGACGGTTTCATTGTGCAGTTCAGGCTGGCCTTGAACTCACTACAGAGCCTACACTCATTTCAGACTCACAGTATCTTTCTGCCTCAGCTTTCTAAAAGCTGGGATTACAGGTTTTCTTGATTTCTTCTGTAACCCATTGATTATTCCAAAGTGTAGCATTTATTTTCCATATGTTTGCATAGTTTTTGTGATTTCTTTTGCACTAGGTTTTAGTTTTAGTTTCATTGCACTAGGTTCTGATAATATGCATGGGATAATTTGGTTGTTTTGCATGTACTTTAGTATGCTTTGTGGGCTAGCATGTGATCTCTTGGCAAAAGCTCCATCTGCTGCTGAGAATACATATTCTGTTGTTTGATGGAGCAATTTGCAAATATCTGTTAACTCCATTTGTTTGAAGTTTTGATTCAACTCTGGTATTTATTTTTTGTCTAATGGGTCTATTTGTGACAGTGGTGTATTGAGGTTTCATGCTATCCAGTAATTGTGTGTTTATCTGATCTTTTATGTCCAGTAGTGTTTTATGAAGTTGAGTATGTTGGTGTTGCTCCATGTTTTAGCGTCTTGCAGTTTGTAGGTTTTTCTGTAATATATATATATATAAGCAGAAAAATAAGTGTTGTCATTTCTTGTTTATATATCCATAGTTACAATGCACTCTTCCTCTTTAGTAAACATATATAATAAATAACTTAAACATTATTAACTAGAGACTGCTTTATTTTTTTATAGTAAGTCTTAGTTACTTAGTTGCTGAGACAAAATACCCAGCACCCCAAGTTAAAGGGGGAAAAGTTTATTTAGCTCACAGTTTGTGGAGCTTTCAGTTTGTAATAGGCTGGCTCCAATGCAGGGTTCACAGTAGGCCGAGGATAGCAAAGACAAGGGACCTTAACAGCATCTTTCTGCCCTTTTATCTTATTCCAGACTACTTCACACCCTTAACCCTAGCACCCTTGAGCCTAACAACATTGCACCAGGAATCAGTTCCAGGACCACACACTTCTAGATCCAACCACATCTGAAAAAGCCCCAACTATGACTGAATGAGGCTTTAAAGGGACATCTAGACACAAGCTATAACACAGTATATATCATAGAAATAGGCTATAGAATTATATATATCATAGGAAGGCTTTAGAATTGTTTTGGATTTAAATCTTAGCTTTGTATCATTGTATCTTGGGCAAGTTCCTCTTCCTCATTTTCTTTTAAAAGTAGCACTGGGGGTGTGAAAGTCTATTATCTGAAATGATTTTCTACTTCTGATATTAAAAATGGGCCTAATTTATCTTGTTTATCCAACAGGTTCCAAGAATATTTGTCAATGGAATTTTTATTGGAGGTGCAATTGACACTTACAAGCTTCACGAAGAAGGAAAACTGCTTCCACTCGTTCGTCAGTGTTACTTAAAAAAAAGTAAGAGGAAAGAATTTCAGTGACTTAGGTGCTATAATTAGCAAATGTAACTAAAGTGAGGACACCAATAATGTCTTTTAAATGATGTTGATTTAAATATGTGAATTATCTTCATGATGATTAAAAATAATAATAAATTGCTATGGAAACCTCATCTTTCTGGTTGCCAATTCTTGAGGATAAGAGATAGTATTTAAAACTGAAGGGGTGGTGTTCTACGGAAAAATGAGGTAAGAATGTGTTTTATTGAAATATATATATGAATTTTACAAGGAGATAAGTATTTGAAATTCTTTAATCTTTGTAGCATTTAGGCATTAACTCCTTACTGCTTTCAGATATAAAGGTTAATGTCTATTTTCTCTGAAAGTTAAGGTTTACTGATATAGTTGAGAACTAGGTAGTGATATCATCTAATATATTGTGAAAAGCATTCACAATAAATTTATAGACTAAATAAATTTGTAGACTAGAATGAAATTTATCATAGCAAAACCAAATCACTCATTTGATGATTTAATAGTTCCAGGGAACACAAATGTACCGATGATTGGAAATTAAAAGGAAGACTATTTCAGCTTTAAATGAGGAAAAACTATTATATGAGGATACAGTTAGGAATGTACTTGAATGATATTGTGGAGAGCTTTTGTTTTCTAGAATGTTGCATTGCTGTTTGAAATGTTCCGTAGGGAAACCAACTATTGGATGCAAGGTTAGATGGAATGTTTCTTAAGGGCTTTGGTTGGATGTGCTCCCTAAAATTCCTGTGTTGGTAACTAATCCCTGATGCAGCAGGATTGAGAGGTGGGGCCTTTAAAAGGTGTGTAGGTCACAAGAATAGATGGATTAATGCTGTTATGCAGGGAGCAGAGTCCTGATAAAAGGATGAGCTTGGTTCCCATTTCTCTTTTAAGTACATGAGCTGTTTTGTTCTTCCATCTATTGCAATGGATATGCAGCAAGAAGGTCCCTTCCTGAAGTGTGCCAGTTGATCTTGGTCTTCTGGGCCTCTAGAGCTATGAGAAGTAAATCTGTTCATCATTAATTACTAGAATCAGGTGTTTTGTTATAGCAAAACTATTCTGAAAACATTATTTCATTTCATTTCAGTTCAACCTAGTAAGCAAGACATATCCTGTGGGAATTCTTATTTTAGAAAAATTGAAGATATTTTCAGTTTTATTGTCAATTTTCTAACTTCCTATCAAGAAATTTTAAAGTGCTTACTACACAAAATATTTTCCTACTTAATTCCTGAAATTATACAGAGGGCAGATTAACAGATGCTGAGAAATCCCAAAGGTGGGAGGAAAATGGATTTCCAGAGTGAATGTTTTTGTTTTCTGGTCAAGACAGAAAACAGGGAATTTGGGACAGGTATGCTTAAATTGCCAGTAAGAATTATTGATAAAGCAAGAGTTTAAACTATTTTCAATGTGATGATTCATATATCTTAGTCCTTTACGTTTCATTATGTCATGAAAAATTTTGCATGCTTGCTGTGTTGTTAAATGTTAGAGGAAATCTGTTACCCATGAGAAAGACAAAATTGTAATTGCATACCATCATTGCTAATTATATTTATTTATTTAATTCTTTTGAGTTTTTAAAGATAGGCTCACCATGTAGTCCAGGCTGGCTTTGAATTTGTGGCAATTTTCCTGCTTCAGCCTCGCAAATGCTGGGATTACAGGTGTGTGCCACCATGCCTGGCCTAATTTTTTCCTCTTCCTTTTTTTTGAGAGAGGGTCTTACAGTGTCATTCAGGCTGGCCTTAAATTTGTGGCTATTTTTCTGCCTCAGCCTTTAAAGTGCTAGGATCACAGGCATGTGTCACAGTACCTGGCTATATTTGATATTTAGATATTAAAAGTAAAGAGGGTACTTCAACATAGATAAACATGGAGCGTTTTGATAGCACTCAGCTATAAATGAAATATCTTTAATCAACTCATTCTAAACTGATAGAGAACTGAAGTATCAACGTGATGGTTCTTGATTATGTTCAGATCTTAAAGTAATTATTAAGGAGAAGCCTTAAAGACTATGAAAGATAACAGGCCATCAGCTCATCACTTACAGCTTTATTTAAAAAAGAAATAACCTAATATCTGTTTTAGTCTTCTACACTTTATACTTAATGATTAATCCACAGAGGTAATTTTAGGGGCCTTACAGTGCATCAAGAAAGCAGCATTTAGGAAAGCAGGGCTGTTAATTAAATGTAAAGGGTGAAAGAAATAAAGAAATCTGACCCTTTTTTGGTCATAACGCAGATTAACATCTTTGAAAAATCCCCTAGATAGCAACAAAATGTCCTCACCACTCTAAAATCTTTAAAATGCTGAATAAACCTGAAGACCCGAGAACTTTGTTTTGCAAGAGGCTAGTGACAGAGCTGGGGGTTAAGCGTGTAGGGGCCACAATATAACATCACTAATGTGAAAATCCTAAGTGGTACTTTGAGTTACAGCTATTAGAGCAAGAAAAGTTTTCAGATCATTAAAGACAGGACTAGCAGGTATGTAAATTAAATAAAGACAGGACTAGCAGGTAGGTAAATTAAACTTCCTAAAATTTCAGATTTCTTGTAAAACTTTTAGGGTTATTTTAATGAATGGAAAAGTGACAATTGCACAGAATGAGATTTAGTATATACTTAATATGTAATGGCTGCTTATTCACAATGGCTGAGAATTGTGTGTCATTTTCTTATGGATCCAACAAGGAAGGTCAAGTTCTTCATTGTTTAGCCAAGAGGGTACTAGGTGTAGTTGTAGAGAGTGCTTCAATGCATAAGGCCCTGGGTTCCACCCCTACCACTGCAAACAAAACTAAAACCTCTTAAAAATTTACATTATAATTAAAATCCAGTTGCCTCGATCCTGTAATGGAACTCTAATGGAAAAGAACTCCCAACCTCATATACCTTAAATACTAATATGCAATTACATGCATTGAAAAGCCAACATAACTTATCAAAACTTAATTTTACCTTGCTTAATTGTAAGATTAATTTTTTAGAGAAAAGGCAAAACCTTAAAATTCATATTTCTTAAAAGAAATAAAAAGACAATTTGATGTGCATAGAATTTATTTGGTACACCTGTTAATTTCTACAATATACTGACCAGAAACATTTCACATCGTGCCCACCTGCATTCCATGTCTGAAATGATTCACAGGCCAAGCATCCCTAATTCCAAAACCTGAAGTGCTGCAGAAATGGAAACTTTTTGAGTGCCAATAATATGCCACAAGTGGAAAATTACATACCTGACCGCATGTGATCACAATCAAAATGCAGGCACACTAAAACTTTTATATAAAATTACCTTCAGTCTCTTTGTACAAGGTGTATATGAAACATATCTAAGATATCTTACTATGCATATTCAGATACTCCACAATTTGAAAAACCCTTCTGATTCTAAGCATTTCAGGTAAATGTTAATCAACCTACATTTGGTAGGGTATTTTGCAAAGTTGTAAAGGGAGAAAAAATTATGACTGCACATAATGATGAAAATTTTTATCTGAAATAAATATAATTAGTCTACTTATCTATTCCAAATCAGGAAACACCAAATTGCCATTGTTAGGTATATTATTTTTTTAACTACAGGTGTGTATTTACATTGAAAACTTGGAAGACTTGCCAAAGCAGTAATGAACAATCTTAGAAACTCCTTGTTTCCCCTTCCCTCCCCCTTTCAGAATCCTTTCCCTGGAAATGAAATAAACTTGTTAAGCAACACATTTTATGTACTTTTAAGCATCAGCTCGACAATTAAAAGTGTTCATCCAGTTTTATAAAATATTCCTGCTTTGAAAAGTCAAAGTGAATGCAGAAATGTGAATGTAATTAAAACCACTGATCTGGATTCTTTTTATTGCAATAGTCTTGATGTTTAAATATTATATATTCATTTCTTTGCATTTTCTGTAGGCTTGAAACAAACTTTTTGCCTTTTGTCTCAAAAATTTCCTTAAAATTTAAATCATTTTAAAAACTGTACAACTGTATTTTTCATTCATAGTGTCAGATATGCAACTTTGTCCTTGGAGGTCATGTTATGGAGTCCAGCTTCTTGGATAATTGCTTATATAACACAAGAAACATTCAACAGTTTATTGATGTTAACAGCCATGTATGCACGATACATGATTATACCCATGTTATCCTAGTAATAAGTGTTTAAATTACTAATGTACAATCAGGTTTTAAACTTAACAGTTAAATTTCCATTCATTATGGAAAAATAAAAGCTCTAAAAGACCCTTTGATTTCTATACTTCAAAAACACTGGGACATTTATATTAAGGCATTGCTTAATAAACAGACCCCAAAGAAAGTAATTAGTATGCCTACAGAAGAGAGATAGTCATATTTTAAGGCAGTCAAAAGGTTATTTTATTCACATTAAGGCTGTGACATACTTAAATTAATTCTATGCAGGCATTAGTCTAAATAATTTAAATATCCAATGGTCAATGATGGAAGGCAAAGCCTTCATAGAAAGTAAATTGACAGTTTAGAACTAGATTGTAATACTCTCTTCACAATTGTTTTTAAAGATGATTTTATGTATATCATCTCTTGAAAATTTCTTCATCAGAATCTAGCAATAATAAAAAAAAAACCCCTCAAGTATATTATAAAACTTACATCTAGTCACATCACACCAAGTATACAGTTTATACTTAAGAGTAACAGTGCATCAAAGTTTTTCTTTGCTGCTATGGGTTAATTTATGTTTTAAATTTAATTTGATTATACTGTATAGGGATCCTAAACGATTTACACTGCAAATAAAACCTAATGGTTAATTTAAACAAATTTCAGTATGTTTGTATTCGTACAGTATTGTGCTAACAGTTGGTGATTATATGCACACATATATGTATATAATCTATAAAAAGTATTGAACTTCATTACTTTAAACAATCCACGTTTAAACAGTGAAAACAGAAACACAGCTTATTGTTTGCTTTGTTTGAATAGATTCTGGTAAATTGTAAAAAGTACAGAGAAGTAAGTCTACTTTAAAATTACATTTCACTTGTTGTATTCGTAAAGTTAATATGATCCATACAGGACTAAGTAAAATAGCTAAGAGGATTAAAAAAAAAAATCTCTTTAGGATCAGAAATAACTTCTGCGTAACTTCATTGTATTTACAAATTCATTCTTACTGTAAATAATCACCTTAGTTTCAGTAATGACATTTTAAAATGTATTTTCCTTTCTACCACTTTTCAATATATAGCTCAGGGTCCCACAGATTTACTTTTTTTTAAATTGGTACCCGGGATCGAACTCATGACCGCGTGCTTGCAAGGCAGGCGCTTAAGCCGCTTAACTAAATCCCCAGCCCCACTTTTCAACATAGTATGCTTTCCCGTTATCCACTTTCTACAGTAAAATATTAGAATTAATTTTTAATTTTTTTGGTACCAGAGATTGAACTCACAACCTTAGACTTGCCAGGCAGGCACTTGTGTTGGTAGGCTAAATCCCTGGCCTTAATTTTTTCAAAAAGCAAATAAAACATTTACCAACTGAAAATATTAAATGTCAGTACAAGTCATTTATAAGGCTTTTCTTTAATGCTATAAGCTGTGTCAGGGGGATATATACTCTGTGAAGTGTTAAAGATTTTGATAGTAGTCTTTATGGAAATAGGTGCTTGTTTCATGCTGTTTTCTTAAGTGGCTATGTTTCTATTAGTGCTTATACAACAATACTTTTTTCAGTGGAGGTGGGTATATCTCTCAATTGCAAAGGCTGAATCAACTGATCTTACCAGGGACCACAAAATTTTAGAAATATTTAATATGAAAGGTGTATAGTATAACTTGATTTAGGAGAGAGAATACATCTAACTGTTTTAAGAGATCTGCCCATTATTAATTTAAAATAGGATCTTAAATTTGTATGAAACAGAAAAGGAATCTTGCAGGAGATTCACCCCAAACCTGTATGAGTGATTTTGTCATTTTATTACTCAGGTACATCAGTATTATGTTTAAAATAATCTTATGTGAAATAGATATGAAACAGCTACTCAGCAGCAAAGAAAATCCATACAGTAATAATTTCATGGCTTAACCTATCATTTGACTTTTTTTTCTTCATGTAGGTGATTATATGGAGTCCGTATGACATTCTCTGAAACTTAAGAAATCATTCCAAACCTGTGGTAATCAGATTAAAACTTTTTGTTTCTGATTAGTCCCAGACCACCACTTGCCAACAAATTTGTGCCAGAACTGTTTAGGTCCAATTAAATTTAAGAAAAGATTACAATGTTTCGGTCTTTTTAATTTTTAAATGTAGCTTTACTGTGCTTCTAGAGATGTTTCTTAACTATCAGACTGTCAAACTTAATTCAGAATTCTGCCCTGTCTTTCTAAAATAATTCCATGCTGATTTTGTAAAATCTAAAAAATAGGAACCCAGAATAAAGGTATTTTATCATTTGTCAACTTTGTTATTCAAAATTTTAAAACACCACAACCCCAACACTCTGGCAAACTAAGTCAGGATCCTGCCCAGCCTAGGTAACTCAACAAGTCTGTCTCAGAGAACAGACAAAACCAAACCAAACAAAAACCCCCAAAACACCCTTTGGAACTGTGAATCAAAATAAACCTTTTCCTCTTTAAAAAAATAAATAAATGAAAAAAGTTGAAAAGATGTAGCTCATACAGAAAGCCTTGGGTTCAATACTTACTACTACAAACAATCTAAAACCAAACAAAGGATGTTAACAGCATCTTCTCCTTTAGAGTATGAGACTATTAATTTTTGTAAGTCCATGAAACTCTTAGGATGTTTCTTTATAAAAGTAATAACTTAATATTTTGTAAAACTTTTCTACATTTTAGCACAGTGCACAGGAGTGTTTTAAAAAATTGAGCCTACTGAGCAGTTTTTCTAAAACTATGTTAATCTTTTAAAACTCATCCTATTAACAAGACTTTTTAATTAAAGAAACCTAACTTGTATTGCAAGCCTTCTTCCCAGTTTGTTTTTAAATACTAAACCACTGATTCTTCTCTAATCCAAGTATTAATTACTCTTTGAAGACCATAAAACTGAATTACCTATGTTAAATTGATTGTGTACAATCACACAGCAAGTTAGAAAAAGCAAAAGAGGTTCTAAAGGAATACTATGCACTATTTGTTAGCAAACACCCTCACTTAACTTTTTCATTAAAGTTACCTAATTAAATAATGAAATGATTTTAGTAAATGGAATTTAAAGAATTTCAACTAATAAGAAAGGGTAATATTTGTTGTTTCAGTAGTTATATCCTAGAAATATTTACATAGGTATTATCTAGGAAATAAACTTTTTCTTACAACTGTATTTAAAAACAGTATTTTCCAAAATATTAATGTAACAGTAATCTTAAAAGTAAATGAGAAAATAAAACTTATTTATAATGAGTATATTCTATTCAAAATGAGGTAAAGTCATTTATTCTATAGGACTGTTATATAGTAACATAGGTTTTTAAACATTTATTGTGCTTGAGAATTACCATGAAGTTAAAAATTATACACACTGACAAGCCTTTTCTGTTATGAAAGCAATGATGTGTAACTTTTCTCCTTACTACCTAAGATACAAGTTTTGAATAATTCTGTTATATCTCCTACTCATCCGAATCATTATGTTCTCACACTGTGGGGAAATGAAAACTGGAATGAAGAAACGTAAGATTTCTAGGTCCTAGCCATCCAGAATCAGAGTGGCACTCTATAACAAGAATTAAAATACTATTTGTTTAAAGTTTCTAAGGTTTTCTTGAAGCTCTTAATTTTTCTGCTTTGAAAACAAAATTACTTCTTGTGATGGTGGTTTTTTGTGTCTTAAATCTCACCCTAATCCGTTCAGTTAGACATAAATATTTCAAAAGCCACCTCTGTTCTTCATGTTTTAATATTGGCTCTTAGACTTTGTCTAAAAACACCATGAAAATAGTACAGAATTTATGAAATAAACTTTATATTCTACTTAACATTTTTATCATGAATAAAAAATGTTTCATTTTAAAATCTCAGATCTTGGGTTTAAATAATTTGACAGCTCTTACATAATTTTTAGGTTCTTTAAATCTAAGCATAATATTTTAATATAACAAAACTAGATAAGGCTAGAGGATCTAAATTTCGAAGCCATACTGGGCAATTTAGTGAGATCGTCTCAAGATTTAAAAAAACTCTCCTCCACCAAAAAGTACAACAAAACAAAACAAAACAACCCAAAAGACTGGCGATGGGGATATTTCCCAGCGCTCCCTGGAATCAGTCTCCCAGAACAACAACAACAAAAAAGCTAAGATGTTAAATGCCACGCTAGACAGAGGGCTAAAACCAAAGTAGTATCACAGACTGCATATTCAGAGTGGGGCATGGTTACTAGCTTTGATGACTAAACAACTCACTTATATAACACTTAAAAACTGTTACCCACTGCTCTGAAAGAATGGCTACATATCAATCTATCATTAATATGTCAAATACATTTGAAGATATTTTATTACCAACACCAAAATTTCCCATAAAATATTAGAAAATATGTACACAAATCCTCACACTATGGACTCGCCCACAAAATCTCTAACCCTAAGCATACATAACACTACAGTTTACATTTACTAGTGTCTAACTTTTCATGTAAAAGTGAGAAGGGTTTTATTAAACCCTCAATATACCTTGAATTAATATCTTAAAAATGCATAAAAATGGAAGTTAGCTAACCTAAAAATGGAATGTAAGCTTAGACTATAATTATAAAATTATGAGAAAAGATACTAACATTTCAACAAATTGCTTTAATGTTAAACTTCCCAATGAAAACAATTGTTGATCAATAAAATAATACATGTTAGTGTAATGGAAAAGAAGTTTAATATACAAAGTATAAAAATAATTTCCTAAAGATTGGTTAGTTGGTATATGCTATTTAAGAACTACCTTTCAAACCTGAAGGACCCAGCTTCCTTTATTTTACCTTATCAAAAATGAATGTTTTGCTATAAAATAAATGCACAGTCACAAGAGACCAGTGACATGATTATAATTTGATTAAAAAAAGATGAAAATAATTAATTCTTATTTTAGGTGCAAGGAACAGGCTAATCTAGTAATAGCTGAAATTGGTGGACTTAAATTATTGAAATATTTTCTTTCTAATAAAAAAAGTTTGACTACACATAGTTTGACTATGTCGTTAACTCAGGAAATCATTGTCAAGTAACACCCTTACTCATGCCAATAAAACACAATAAAGCAAAACAAATCAAACCAAATATAACTCCTCAGCCAACACAAACTTTACAGCCTCCTCTAGGAGTCTGCATTTTGTTTGTGTTTAATGGTGACAGATTCTACAAGTACAAATAAAAAATAACAAAGTATCTTTTTCATTGAATAAGAAAGCTGTTATTTAAACGGTCTTAGAAAACTCTGAAAGGAATTTGTAAAACTCGTAATTTAATCAAGTATCTTAGTGTTTTATCCTCTTGGTACAAAAGTTTACACATGAATTTTATATTCCATCACAGTTACATGGTCTAGTGCATTTCAGAGTATTTGAATATTATCAAAGCTGTCCTTTTCCAATGAAAACATTAAAAAACAATACTTTTCCAATAAGTAACATGATAAAGAACTACTCATACTTTTGGATCTCACCTTTTTTCAGTACAAATGTATTATTCACCAGAGCAACTGTACACTGTACTAAAACAAAGTTCTCTATTAAGATAGAGGAAGCTACAGTATCTTGAAGTTATTTCCCAAAAGTTAGATTCGTAGACAGAACTTTGGGTTCATCTTATTTTTCTTCCTTCTTTCCACTGTTTTTTATAAAGTAACTTCCATTACGTACATACTATACCACCATCTTTCACTGGATTGAGATTAGGTGGGAAGTAGCTGTGTAATTTTAGTGAGATCACTGATGGCAACTGACCTCTTTTATATCATTCCGGTGCTTATGGTTAGATTACATCTAATGTGAAATTTCGAATTACATCCAGAGCTCCAGTATCAAAGCCACACATATCCAACATGCCTCTATCATCTGGGTCTGCAATAGTAAAACCATTTGATGTCATTCCACAAACAATCAGTTTAGCTGGAATATCCACTTTCTGTAGGAAAAAACCACATAAGATATCATAAATATACATAAAAACTGTATTGAAAGAAAACGAAAAGAAAAACCTCCAAAAATATAGTACTTTAAAATTTCTTCAACATGGTTTTTTATTTGCAAAGTCAATTTTATTTTCTTGGGGCGTGGTTATCTTTTAGGGTCGGACAATGTGAACTTTAAAAGACTGCAAAATAAAACTGCAAAAATCCTACCTAAAATTTATTTGTTCTATGTATTTACCGGTTTGTGGGAACCATAGTACATTTAAAACAGTATGGGAGCTTTGTAAATTATGAAAATTATTGGGGTATTCAGAGGTGCCACTTTCATCAAAATGGCAAATGGTGGGGCAGTATGTGTGAGTGTATATATATAAGAGAATTATTTCTCTGGGATTATCAATGTTTGGTTTACAATTTTCATATATTCAATATACAGATGTACCATGTAAGAACTCATTCTCTATAGTTACATGTAAGGTTAATATAGTTTTTGAGAAAAAAACAATCCTGAATATACATTATTATTTTTTTTTTTTGTCTTTTTCCTTTTCCTTTTTATCGGTACCAGGGATTGAACTCACGACTGCCTGCTTGCAAGTCAGGCGCTTAGGCCGCTGAGCTAAACCTCCAGCCCCCTGAATATACATTATTGTCACACACTACAGTGAACTCTGTTTTGTTTTTTTTGGTCCTGGGGATCAAACTTACGACCTTGCACTTGCCAGGCATATACTTATTTATGTCACTGAGCCAAACCCCAGTCCCTGTGAACAATTTAAATAATATATCTAATTTAATTGTTGTACCACCCCTAAAGGTATTTCCTACTGTGTCATCTATTAGGTCCATAGTAAGAAAGACCTAGGACAAAGACTCCAGGCTGTCTTTAGTCCAAATTCTATTCTCTCACCTCTGCTTCTCAAATTAAAGCAGGCATTGGAATCCCTTGGATAACCTGTTATAGCACAGTTCCACTGAGTTAATAATTCAGCAAATAGTTGATGGGGCCTAGAATCTGCATTTCTAACAAGGTCCCAAGTGATTCTAAGGCTGCTGGTAGGGAAACTACACTTTTGAACATCTCTATTCTTTGTTACCAAGTTCTATTTCTACTTCTATTCACATTAGCCACATATTAAGTGCTAATAGGCCCATGTGAGTAGCTGCTAGCTACCAGATTGAAAAGTTCAGTTATAGAATATATATATTGTTTTAGGAAGCTCAGTCAGGGAACACTGATTTCCCTCCATGTTTCACCATGAAAATCAGAACATAGTTATAGCTTTAATTTTATGTATTTCATTGGCAAAATCCACAAAAGGTATTTTTAATTTTTCAAAGAACATAATCATTAAAAGATACTGTTAGTACTGTTTAGCACTAGAATGGTTTAAAATAAATTATATATGAGTGGCCACTACTATTCTTATTTCAAGTACTTCTGAATTCATAAATGACATTGGATGCCTGTACAAAGATACAGGAGAAACTTTAGTGATATTTTAAAAGAAACAGTGGAGCATTATTTAGGTGAGAATAGCAGAATTTGTTTTACCTTTCTATAATCCCTCAGAGCAACAGAAGGATGGACATTTCCTGCAAAAGTCTCATTATCAGTGAATACAATAAAGACATCAGCAGCTGTGTTCGTCTTTTGAGCCCAGATCATTGGAAGAGAGCAATCAGTTCCACCAGCTGGGATCTAAACGCAACAAAAACGTGAATGAGAATTAAGTTACCCTCGTGTCCACAATTAAATGTCTGAAATATATACTTATTTTTACAGTATTGTTTAGAGCAGTATCTAGGCCTCCTCTAGTAAGACAATGCTATTTTAAAGACTATTTTTTTTTTTTCTTTTTACCGGTACCAGGGATCGAACTCATGACCGCCTGCTTACAAGGCAGGTGCTTATGCAGCTGAGCTAAATCCTCAGCCCCTTTAAAGACTATTTTTGATTTTTTGTTTCTCATAAGACCAAATTTCTTATAAATTAACACCATGCATACTATTAACATAAATTATTCTACATGTTGAGTAAATTTAATTAAAAAAAGTTTATTACCTGACTCATAGCCATTAAAACTTGTTGTAAGGTCATATCTTTAGTCACAGGACATGGTACCATTTCATCTGAAAAAGCAACCACGTAAGAATCTTTTTCTGTTCGTGTGACGACCTGAAAAATTCAATGGTAGTGATTTTTAGCACATCTGGGAGAAATACAGTATCCTGACGTTAACACAAATTCATTTCTAAGAGAAATAACATGATGCTTATTTCTAAATTTGTACTATGTTCTAAAGTATACAATTAATAACTTTCAAAGTAGCATACTTTTCACAAACTGTTAGAAACTGGTTTTCAAACCATCCTTTAAAGAGACAGAGTCTCATTTTATTACGCTATAGGAAACCACTCATGAAAAAAAAAAAATAAGCTTCATCTGTTTGCTATTTAGTGAGGCTAGAACTAAAGTCTCCTGACTATTTAGTTCCTTAATCTTTTACCTTCTTTATCATGCCTTTCGTTTTGTTTTGCTTTTTGAGTCATGGTGTTACTAAATTGTAAACATAGGAGTTGAACTTATGATCCACCTGCCTCAGACTCCTAAGTAGCTGGGATAATGTGCTATCAACTTGGCACAAAATGATTTTTAGGCTAAAAATATAGATAAAAAATGTGTCCCATGAGCTGAAATGACAAGTTAATGAAAACATAAATTTTTTTTGAGACAGGGTTTTGCAATGCAGTTCCAGCCGGCCTTGCGCTCAGTTTGTAGCTCAAGCTGGGTCTTGAATTTGCAACAATTGATCCCCCTTCCTCAGCCTCCCAAGTGCTGGGATTACAGGTGTGCATCAGCACCCCTGTATGCCCAGTTCATAATTCTTGATTAATTTTACAGTTTTACCATAGTAAACATTTTTTTTTAGACAGAGTCTTGCTACATAGTCCAACCTGGCTTTGAACTCTTTTGATTTTTCTCTGCCTCAGCCTCCTGAGCACTGTGATTATAGGCATATGCCACTAACCCTGGCTCAGAAATATTTTTTTTAGGGGTGAAAATTCTAAATTGTTCTAGGTGTTCTCACCATGCACATTGCTGCAGCAACTGTGCTAGCATTTAGTATACTACCCAAAACTCTTTGGTTCATTGAAGCACTGACATCAATAGCCAGCAAGAAACGTTTTCCAGTTGGCTCAACTGTCTGAAAAGAAAACAAAACAAAACATTAAAAGCAGATACAGAAATTAGAGGTAGACTAAATGTCTAAGAAATCTAACTTCCTTATTTTTCAAAAGAAAAAGGCCTGATTTTTGATACATCAACTGAGAACTGTTCTAAAATACTAAGCTCTCAGAAAGGTAAAAAAGGAAAAAAATAACCAAAAAAAAAAAAGGAAAAAATATATTTAATAATTCCATTTAAAGACGTTGCCATTCTATTTTTAAAAAAATTTTTCTTCACTAAAGTGAAATGGCAATTTAAATTTTTTAAAAACTGTGGTAAAATATAAATAATATAAACTTTACTTTGGTAACAATTTTTAAGAGAATGATTCAGTGGCATTAAATGCGTTCACAATGTTGTATAACAATTATTTCTTTTTCACCCTCAGTAGGATCTTTGTACAATTAAGTAGTAGTAGTAATCCTTTAGTCTCACATTCACTTAACTTCCTGCTACTTCTATACTACTTCTATACTACTTACTGCCTCTATAAATTTGCCTACTCTTGCCAGGGATTTAGCTCAGTGGTGGAAGTGCCTGCCTGCCAAGCGTGAGGTCACGATTTCATCCCTGGTACAAAAAAAAAAAAAAAAAAAAGTTTGCCTACTGTAGATATTTCATATGATGCAACCATAGAAAACCTGTCTCTGTGTTTGGCCTTAACATGATATTTTCAATGTTTATCTATGTAGTAGCATGTATTTGTAAGGCTAAGTATACAGTATTTTATTTTCTGTATGTATCACATTTTATTTATCTTTTGATGTGAAGCCTTGGGTTGTTTTTATATTTTGGCTACTGTGAACAATGCTGATAATAATGATATCCAAATGTTGAATACTTGCTTTCAATTCTTTTGACATATAGGTAAAGTTGCTGGATGGTATGGCAATTTTACATTTAGCTTTGTAATATACCTGTTTTCCATAGGTGTTCAAACATTTTATAATTTTACTAGTAATACTCCAGGGTTCTAATTTTTCTGTTCCTTAATATTTCCTATTTTCTGTTCTTCAGATTACTACTATCTAACTTGATATTAAGTTGTATCTCACTGTGGTTTTGATTTTTATCTTCTTGATACTAAACCATTTTTCATATGCTTATTGTTCATTTATACATCTTTGGGAACATGTTGAATGCTCTACTTTTCAACTGGGCTGTTTGTATTTACACTGTTGAACTACAGATTTTTTTCCCTTTTTTTGGTACTGAGGCACTTTGCTGCTGAGCTAAATCCCTAGCTGCAGTTCTTTATATTCTTGGTCAACAAGAAAGCCCTCCCTTGCAAATCTGGGCCACATGTGGGCTGGTGGGGGGAGAGCCAGATGCCAGCCTCTTCCAGTGTGTGGTCTGAGAAACAAGAAGAGCCAACTCCCTGTACCCCAAATGATGGGCTGATCCAGAGAGAACACAGGCTGTGACAATAGCCATTGAAGTAAAATACAATTTGATGCTTTAGTGTTTCACTGACTTTGCAGGTCTAAAGCTGGTAGTCTGACCACCTGTTCAGAGGATAACAATACACAAGGTAGCATCTATGGGGGATCTCTTTCTAAAGGTGGTAGCCACTGTTGTTTCTTTTTTGGTACCAGGGCTTGAACTCAGGACCTTGAATTTGCCAGGCCACGGTTAAGTCTCTATTGTTTTGAAGTCCTGTATCATACTCATTGTATTATCAGGTTGGATTTTGTTTTATTTTATTGTATCTGATAGCATGGACTGCCATTTCAAAGATAAATATATTATGGCAGACACTTTGGATTTACGATTACCTTGTTTTGAAGTTCTTATACTTATTGTTTTGTTTTTATTGGTTCTGCTGTTTGATTTTTACTGTCTAAAGGTATCTGCAGCTATTTTGAAGACAAGAGGCATTATGGTAACCGTTGCTAATTTCCTATTGTTCTGAAATCCTGTGTCACACTGGTTTTGATTGGATTTATTGTTTTATTTTGCTTAGTTTTATACTCTTTAAAATAAAAATTAAAAAAATTTAAATACAAACATATATATTTTGATGTTATACCCTTACCACATACATTGTGCAAATGTTAATTCTTACTGTAAAGGTTACTTCTGTCTCCTTTTATACTATCCTTCTTTCTTATTATTATAGTGCCATTTTCTTTGATAGGTATTGCTAGAAATCAAACCTAGGGCCTTGTTTTATTTTCCTACATAAGAATATGCAGTTTTTCCAGCATCATTTTTGAATACCATCCTTTCTCCATTGAATCATCTTGAAACTTTTCTCAAAAATCAACTGACCAGATTTACAAAGGCTTTCCATTGTATTTCTTTGTCTTTAGGCTAGTAATGCAGATCATTGCAGCCTTGTGGTAAGTTTTGAAATCCCAAAGTGAGTATTTCAATTTCTTTTCAAGATTGTTTTGGTAATTAGGGGTCACTTGAATGTCACATAATTTTGGTATTTTTCTTTATGCAAAACATGTTATTGGAATTTTGAAAGGGACTGTGTTGAATCTGTAGATGTCTTTGGGTACTACTGTCATCTTAAGAAGCCTTCAAACTAGGAGAATATATATCTTATTTATCTTTATGGTAATGTTTTAGACTTCAATGTATAGTACTTGCATCTCTGTTGTTAAATTTTTTCCCTCATACCCTTCTTTTCTTTCCCTTTTGTGAAACTGGATATTCAAACCAAAATCTATGCACTGAACTACATTCCCAATCATTTTTTCTTTATTTTTAAATTTTTTATTGGGTATAGGGTCTCATTATGTAGTTCAGGCTGGCCTTGAACTCATGGCAATCTTTCTGCCTCAGCCTCCCTAGTGGTGGGATTACAGAGAAATGTCACCATACCTGGCAGGTTTTTTTTTTTTTTTAAAATTTTATGACTGGACCTCTGCCAAGTTGCTATCTTGTCAAGGTGAGGATTGAATTTGTGATCATTTTGCCTCAGCTTCCCAGAGTGCTGGGATTACAGGTGTGTGCCAAAATGCCTCGCTTCGTTTATTCTCTTAGGTAACTATTGTCAGTAGAAATATTGTCTGAATTTCCTTTTCAAATTGTTCACTGCTGGTGTATAGATATGTAAATGATTTTTATTTGCTGACTTTATATCCTGTAATTTTAATTTGATTAACTCACTTAATTGTGTTTATATATATCAGTTGTGTACCCTTTAGGATTTTAGGATTTATGTAAGATCATGCAATTGAGGTTAGCGATAGCTTTACTTCTTTCTTTCCAATCTTGATTTTTAGGATTATTTCTCTTCACCAGTTGCTAAAACTTTCAGTACCATGTAAAAATGAAAAACTGGAACATTCTTGTCTTATTCCTGATCATCAGCAAAAAACTTTCAATTTTTCACCAAAGAGAATGTTAGTACATTTAAGTATGTCTTTAAAAAAAATATGCATACACACACACATATGGCCTTTATTATGTGAAATCTACTTTTATTTCTAGTTTTTTTAACTGCTTTTTTTAAGTGATGGAAGGATGTTGAATTGTCAAATATTTTTGTGCATGAATTCAGATAGCCAAATGGTTCTGTTATTCCTTAATTCTCCTAACGTAATGTCCTATATTATGCTGACTGATTTTTGTATGTTGAAATGTCCTTTCATGTCAGAAACAGGTATTATGTGATGATGGTATATACTTCTTTTAATTTGCTGCTGAATTTGGATGTTATTCTATTGTTTATCAAGAAAATTTTATGTATGGCTCTGATGTGGGATTTCCAGTCTAAATAATTTACTTTCTATCAAGACTGATGAGACACACCTAACAATTAATGGAAAAAGCAAGGGACAGAAGGCCAAGTCAAGGACCCACACAAGAATGCAAATTTAAAAATTTTTGTAATCCCAAATACTTACATTTAGTAACTCACCAAAATGATTAAAATTATCAGAATAAATTTAGAATTGCTGCCAAAAGGTAAGGAGAAACACTTTTCTCATAAACTCATAAATGTTAACTATATGTCCACCTTCACATAAATTGAGAAAATGACTATGTACTCATAAATGATTATAGTATTGATCCTTTAAAATGTTTTTACAAAGGATATTAAGCCATAACTTAAAAGGGGGGGGGGCAAACATTACCTTAAATGTTTTATAAAAAGCAGCATCCAATGCTTTCAAGATCTCTTCACAAGGGCACCACTTCAGTTTTCCTCTGAGTCCATGACCTATTCTGTAAGTTTCTAATGCAATTAGGACATGAAATGGATGTATACGAGCCTAGGATCAAGAAAAATAAATGTAAAATTCAAGCAAAAACTTGTAATTATGTGTCTTTCTTAGATTTTTATGCTACTATAACTAAGAGAGATATTTTATGAAGAAGAGAGAATAATGAGGATATATTAACCTTAGATAGGAGTCAAAAAGCAATTTGGTATAAGATGTAAAAACCACACTGATTTCATTTTCGAAATTTAGAAGCCAACTTTTTCACTTAGTTAACAAAGGCTACCAATAATGCTTACCTTTTTTAACAGTTTTTCATTACATAGTTTTTCACATACTAAAGATACTTCTGAATTTCCTGGTTCAAGTACTGAATTAGCAGTCATTTTTCCTAGATTCCTTAGTAATGCAGTTAGAGGCATTTCTTGTAATAAAGCCCTCCACACCTATAGAAAGATATATAACAAGTTAAGAAGAATACGTGGGCAGACATATAAGGAATTAAGGGGAAGTAATTCACTATATTATAGCTATATCAATAACAACATTCTCTAAGGCTTTCGAGACTCAAAAGTACTTTCAGAATGAAAATGTATTTGATCAAAGATTTATCAAATCAGCTAAATTATTTTCTAGAAGTAAATTTTATGACTACAAAGATTTTAAAGTTTGTGAGATAGCAAATTCTCTGAAATTACACTAACACAAAATGCCAACCACATTTGGCCTTATGTTAGAGATTTTACATAAAAATTCAAAATGTATATTTCTCTCCATTTTTTTTTTTTTTTTTTTTTTGCAGTGCTGGAAATCAAACCCAGAATCCTGCACATGTCATTTCTCTCTTTTTATGAGACAGGGTCGTGCTTTGTAGTGCATGGTGGCCTTCAACTCACTATGTAGCCCAGGCTGGTCTCCAACTTGCTTTGATCCTCTTGCCTCTGCCTCCCGAGTGCTGGCACTACAGGCAGTTGTCACAGCATTGTTGTTATTTTCGTTTTTAAAGTGAAATTACTCACCTCTTTAGATTTTAAGTGATTTGTTAGAAGATGCTCCCTAACTAGTCTATGTTCTTCTATTAGATGAATGACTTCCAGTTCATCTTTCGTGCGTTTCACTTTTTCTACAGCTTCCAGATATTTTAGTAATTTTTCAGTCTCCACAGGAAGTGCTTTTTCTTTATATAACTCATGAACCTCTTTCCAGCCCTTTGTAATATATTTGGTGACAATGGCAAGTCCTTTAACAAGAAAAGAATTGAAAAGGCAGGTAGGATTATCAAGAAAAAATAGAACACATTTCTTGAGAATACATCCTATGATAGAGTTAGCTATATACACAGGAGTTAACTCTCTTAAAGTAGGGTACTATTTCCTATGTTATAACAGACACATTTAAGCAAATAGAGCACATTAATTTGGCTTATTTTAATTTACTTATTTCCTTACTGCTTAAAAACCAAACAGGGGAAAGTTTTATATCTTAAGTAACTATTTAATTGTATTACAGAGGCTTTTTTTGCCCTTAAGATGTCAGTGCCTATTTTGGTTTATAGTCTCAGAATAATTCCTTTCTGTATATCTGAATAATACAGATTTATGAACAAGAGATTTAAAGGAAGTAAAGAGGTAGGTAAGTTTCTTTTATGGTTTTAGAGAGATTACAGGATCATTTTTTAAAGGGGGAAAATTGTTCATTGCATCCATACTTTCTAATCATAGAAAGGGCTAGCGGGCTGAGAAAAATGTAGGTTCTAACCTACTTTCTGTGATTAAATGTTGATCTTTTTAGGTCTTGTTCTCCACATCTATTAAAGGTAAGGATTAAATCCTCAATTCAAATCTCTCTGAAGGCAAGGCAGGTGAAATAAAGGAACAGATCAATGTTGTAAGTCAACAGGACTGTGGTGAACTAAAAACAATTTGCACTGGGTGTTTTAAACAAGCACTGACTTACTCTGCCAAAAGATGTATGTTCAAGAAGTTACAATAGCAATGTTTATCTAAAGTATTCTGATTTTTCAAAAAGCACTGACAATTTTTTCCTTAAAATATTTTATAGATCAAATGATACACAGTATCTAAGCCAGTCTGAGCACATGTGCTATTTCTGAACGCTAAATAATTCGATCTAAAGTTAATATTGCTGGGCACAGTGGCATATGCCTGTAATCCCAGCACTCAGCAGGCTGAGGCAGGAGGATCATTGTGAGTTTGAGGCCAGCCTGGGCTACAAAGTGAGTACAAAGCCAACCTGAACCATATAGTGAAACCCTGCCTTAAAAAAGACAAAAAGAAAGAAAGAAAGTTAGTTAATACTAACAAGTTGGATGTGGTGGTGCACTCATGAAGCTGACACACGAGGACTGCTACAAGTTCAATGCCAGCCTAGAGTACCCCCCATTAGTGAGCCCCCATCTCAAAAAACAAATAAAGCAATAGTAGGGACTTCCAAAACTTGTTCCACAACACGTCTTCTATAGTTGGTATAAAAATGTCCTAAATAACTAAATGTTTCATGTGAGCATGTGCATACTGTTTTTCCAATGAAAAGAAATATTCCTTAATGCAGCTGTATCCTACCCAGTTCCCTAATTATGCAGATACATAGGCACAAGATAAAAATCTGATTAAATTACACTTTGACTGACTTGTCTATTGTAAGTACACCATTTCAGTTAAGACATTAATGTCTTAATTACTGGTTGCTTAATTAGAATTTAAGATTCTTTTCATTCTGAGTAGCACTGAAGCCTCATTCTCTGTCACCTATTCAAGAGCAGCTTTTTTGCTTACTGAAACTTTTAATTTAGTTTTGTGTGGCATCACAATCTACTGGCACCTGATTCTAGTTAGCATGGTCTTATTAAAGATTTAGAATATTAACCTGTAAATCTGCCCTATGATTCTTTATTCTGAATGCGTGGGTTGCCTGTGATAAGTCAGTAACTCCAGGTTGGCAATAAAGATTTGAACTGGTCAGTCAATGTGTGTCTTGAGAATTAAGGGACAATTCTAGAAAATAATTCTATAATATCAAGTAAACATTTGTTTTTTCTTGGCTATTCTTTACTTTCACCCCCAGTCCCCGAAAACTTTATGCTTACCTTCATTGGAAGGTTTAAGATGTGACAGTCTTAACAGGTCTTTGTGAGACCAGCCATTTCTTTGTTTGTATTTTGTAACTGCCAAAGCAAGGGCCATGCCACCCTTTTCATTGTACCAGTCAGCAACAGCCTTCCGGAGAGCACGACCCCACATACCACATTTCATGCTTTCCTTCAGGTCTTTCTTAAACTGGATAAAAGTAAAGAGATGCGTAGGAATACGACAAACTTCAGAAACAGCTTTAAATGCTGCTTGTTTGGTGTTTATGTCAGAACACTGGGAACAAATGGCAAGTGCAAAGAGCAAAGGCTCTTGCTTTGCGGTTCTGCCTTCTTGACTAAATGACTTGATTTCCTGTATCACTTCATACCCTCTACCATCTTCAATCAATCTAATTAAAGCTTCGGCATTTTCCAGGCCCAGCTTCTGTTCTTTGATATAGTAAGTACCACCTTCAGAACCAAAACATAAGAACCGATGGAGTCGATTCATGTCAGTGACTTGCCATACATGTCCACCTTCAGAATTGACTATTTGCTTTTCATTCAGTGGCTGCATTTGGTTTACAGATTCCTCCATTCTTCCTGTCTTTCAGGAAACCTACCAAAAAAGCAAAATATCATTATAATTAGATAGATACAATGAAATTATATACAGAAACATTAATCTATGCTTATTGAAACCTACTACCTTTCAAATTTAAAAATATCTTTTAAGTTCAGTAAACTTTACTCAGTATAAAATCAAAATAAATATTCCTAATTAGAAAACACAAATAATGAAAAACAAAACAAAAACTACATGTGACCATCCAGAAATGAGTACTAAACACCTAATTTGAATTTAAAAAGTGCTTTTGCTTTGTACATATTTATATTTTTATAATCTAGGGAAACATAAGATATTTCAAAACCAACAAACTAGGTAACAGGTGCAAAGATATGATCTGTCATATCAGAAGCAACAAATAAAAGAGTCCCATTTGTGATGTACCAGTATACTGCTTCTGAGACTTAGCTGGGTAGGTCAGTAAGAGCTCTTGGGTCCCAGAGAGAGATGAATAAAAGTAAAAAGTAGAGATGAATGAAAGTAGAAAATAGGGACCCACAGTAGCTGGCATGAAGAAAAATGCCAATCCTTAAACAACTGTGCAGGCATTTTTGGTTGTCTGGCAATATTCCTCTACTTTCTCTGGTTTCCTTATCCTTCAGTCTTTTAAAGGCTTTTAGGCTTTTCTCTGACCCCAACGGATGGATCCTTATTTCTCTAAGACAGTGGTTCTCAAATTCTATGTGCATCAAAATTATATAAAGCGATAGTTAAAACACAGATCAGTGGGTTCTTGGCCCTGAGTTTCATAATGAAGTAAGTCTGGATGAATCTTAAACATGTATAAACATCAAAAGCTCCCAGGTAACATTGTTCCTGGGGACTCAGTCCCAATCAGGCGGCTGGCATTCTCTATGTCATATGACTGCATGTCACAAATCTGGCTCATTACTAGTTTGCTTGGAATTCTTTTGAGGTTTTCATCGTTCTTAAAATGGGGTTTCAGCTTTAAAAAAAAAAAAAAAGGATATTTCTCTTTTTTGCTGACTTACTTTCAATTTCAAGTAGTATCTAAAGAACTGTATCTTCACAAATGTAATCAGTTCATGAGGATACATCAAGGCTATATATAAGGATGGTAGAGCAAAAAGGCAGAATCTGAGTCCTTCGTATCACTGAGCTACTTGGAATTGTTCTACTTAGACTCTTCTTTTATGGTGGCAGCAAACACGGTGCCATTGGGGGCTTTTATCACTGAAAGCTCTGAAAAGTTTTCCATCGCTGTTCTATTATGTCATAAATGTTTCTTCATTAAGTTTTCTGTTACTTGTAATTGACAGCATCCTGATTAGTTTACTAACTGTGCTTGCTCATTCATACTTTGGCATCTGTCACAATTTCTACTTTCTTCCATCATCTCTAAAGCTATTAGAACTAGCTTTCTTGCAACAATATCACTTTAGAGAGAATAATCATAATAATCAATATTTTACCAGTCTACAACTATTTTTACTGTCCATCTTACACCGTTATTATACAAAAAGCTTCTGCCCATGGCAAACAAAACAATATAACCAACAAAAAAAAAATTTCACCCAGCAACCATGGGACAACATGAAGGTTTCTGTTCCATGAAATAGATGAAAAAATGAATTTCAGACCTCAGAGAAAGCATTCATTTGTGGAAGCAGAAATGCAAAATGAATGTAACTAAGTGCTTTACTAGAAAAATGTTATTAATAAGCATGAATGAAACAGTGCCAACTCAAAAATCCAGAAAGATGTATGCAGAAAACATGGATTGAAAAAGTAAAAGGCATTCAGGAGATGTTTCTGAATTCCTGCCTTGTGTCTTTATATTCTTGAAAAGGAAATATTAAATGTACTGGTATAGCTGCCAAGACTTCATACAGACAAGAAAGCAGAAGAATATGTGGTAAAAGAAATTTTGCTTTGAAGAGACACATGCTTATGTGTTGGGGGGAAGTATAAAGAATGGAATACTGGTGAATTTTAACAATTCAGAGACAAGGAGAAAAGGGTCTCTTAAAAGCCAGTTAAGGAGAAGCACCAAGTTAAAGAAAACCAGGAGACAGAGAGGGATGGTGGACTAAAAGGAAGAGAATTTCAAGGAGTAAATTGCTGGTAATGAGAAATACTCTGACATCAAGTAAATAAAGGACGTGAAAATGACCACTGAGCCTAATAAACAGGACTAACTAGAAAATCCAATTGCACTTGAGTGCCTAAGAAGCAGGATATGAGAGACAGGGTTGTCCATACACAGTAATCTTAGTACATGTGAGGTTGAGCCAGGAAGATTGGAAGTTCAAGGTCAGCTACATACTAAGGTTCAGGCTGGCCTGCACTACATAAAAATACCCTGCTTCTAGATCAAACCAAACCAAACCAACAAAAACAAACAACTCCCTCTATGAAGTAGGTTGATTTCAGTGAGACCAGGAGTAAGCACCCTGTGAGAAGAGACTGCAGAGGAAGGCCACTTTTCTATAGCAGCAGTTAATGAAGGAACATAAGAAACAGGTAACAGCGAGGTTAGAATATAGGAGAAAAACTTTTTACATTTTTCGGCAGCACATCAAGGATGATTTTGAAACATCCAATCTGGAGATCTGAAGAGACATTAGAGAAAGGGAATAACTGAGAGTAAGATCCCTGAAACACTCAGTACAGAAAGAGCTTACAGATTCCAAGTGGAAACTGGTCCATTGGTGGCAAAAGAGATCCTGAACCCTGTGAAGGGTTTAAGGTATGTATGGGTAAAGACAGATTTGAGCCTGAGGGGAAAGGAAATTGGGTAAAATTTCCAATCTGATTGATACAGTGTTGCAAGTATAATGTGTGAAAGTTTGCTAAGTAGGATAGCAAAGAAAGACCAGAAAGAGGAAGATAATGATGTGGGGATACATGAATAAGAATGGAGAACCTTAATTCTGAATGTGATAAAAGGGGAAGCAGAGTTCCACTGTGTTGTAAATTTGGTGTATTACAAATACAACTGATGCAATTTTACTTATTTTAGTGCAGGGATAGGTTTTAGGTGGTAACAGATATAAGGGTTTTGTTATTAGGGACTGAGGGGCTGATACAATTATTACGTAGGCAACTCTCCTGGTGAAGTGAATGCCACTTAATTTGTCTTTACTTTTAACTTTCATGAAGAGAGGAAAAAAAAAAAAAAACAAGAAAAAAGCTTTTGAGACTTAACAGCCTTTTCCAAGACTGATATCTTAATTGACAATTCTAACAGAAAGTTGTAACTTATTTTAACCTTTACAGTATGCTTGACATTGCCTGTTTGTTCTTCAACTTCCACAAAATACACTTCAACTTGTCCACCACGGCTTATTCCTTTTCTTAAATGAATAACAATGAAATGATATTTAGTATCAGTTTATTCTACTATGCCTACTCCTACTCCAATGCTCAAATGTTTGTATTTGAAGTCCCTTTTAAAGCTCAATATACGACCTTCCTAATTTCTTTTCTTTGTATTAATTGTGAGCATGCCTATTATAACAGTAGTTTCCTTGACAGCAGGGACCAGTCTTTATTATTCAAAAATCTCTCTTCTGCACCTAGAAGACTACATTTAAGTAATGAATAATTCATACTTAAGGACAACTAGATAGCATTAAAATAGATTCTTTGAACCATTTAGTTAAGAATTATGCACAACTGATTTTTCTTTCTTGTAACTTATTTTAGAAATAAAAGTCTTGATGTATGATGAAAACCCAAACAAGTTGTTAAAGAAATTCTGTAGTCAGAATAAAATAATAAATGTACTATATGGAGGTAACAGAAATACAATCAAGAAAAAAAATTAGGAAGTTGTGATGAAAATTGAGTGAAAATGTCATTGGACTAATACTTCTCTAAGTTTTTTTGATATAATTGAGGTATTTAAGTACGTATCTTTTGTAGAATAAACAGCAAGACCAATTTTTAATCTAAGAAAGATGGTTAAAAGAGACATTTCAATAAATGTAAACCTTGTAATCCATACTGTAAATTTACATTAAAATTAAAGAGGTCACTGTCTTAAGTTCCTACGTTAATTAGCCTCAATAGACCAGTTCAAACAAAATGCAGTCTGTGACTCATGTTAAATACCTGTCAGTCTACCTGAAACTACTGGGAGCAGACAGATCCTAAAACAGACTTTTTCTTGAAAATAGATTATTTAATCCATTCAAATCAGCAAGGGAGGTCTCTCTTTTAACCTTTACAATAAAAGTAATGTGATGTTAACCAACCAGCTTTTCTTTATCACTGTGTTTTTTCCTTCCCACCCTACGAAACTCTACTAGTCTAGAATCTAGAATCCCAACTAAAACAAATAAGGTCCCTAGGTTAAATTTGTTGTAATTTTGTCTTTTGCAAGTTGCTCCCCCCACCTCTACCATGGATCGAACTCATGACCTCGCACTTGCCAGGTAGGTGTTTATGCTGCTGAGCTGAATTTCTGGCTCTGTAATTTTGTCTTTTGACATAAGAAATAAATTGTAGCTTTATCAACAGACAGTAATGACAACTTCAAGGACATATTCTTTCAATATTTCTTGTGCCGAAATTGGCTGGCATAACTTCTGTGATGGTATTTTCCAGGATGCAGCATAAAAATAGCAGAACAGACTAGATTATATTTACAGCTAGGGCACTTTTGTAGTTGGGTATATAGACTTGACAATCAAACTTTTAAAGTGAAAGATGGAAAACAGAAAGTCCCAAGCTACTTTGTGTCACTGATACAGAATTTAACCTTAAAATTGGCTGTATTGATTATTACAACTTTAAAACTGTTACGTCACTGTGGTATGAGAGTTTTGGTCTTCCTACAAGGTTCCTGACAGTTCATTATGTTCTTGATGTCACAGGGAGGCCAAATCTACTCTGCCCCAGTTCCTGCACTCTTTTTATTTTGCCATTCCTGAGTTGTAGCCATTATAACACACCATAATCCTAAGAATATAATTTATAGTAAATTAGATAAGTCATTTTAATAAATTATTAACCCTGAGTAGGTAGTAGGAAGCCCTGAATTTATAGTTGATAGGGTAGAAATGTGAGTAGCTTACGGACTCCACTTGTAGCTGGTATCTCAAGATAAATCTTACGAAGAACTTTGTCTTTGAGATCTGATATAAACTTTACATAGCTGCAGAATTAAACTGAATCTATGCAGGACACCCAAGTGTCAGAGAACTGCTGTTGGAATAGACAACAAAGGGACAAGTGACAAAAGAAAAAAACAAACTAGACTTCATAAAATATGAAACTACCGGGGATGGCAGCACACAACTATAATTTTAGCACTTGGGAGGCTGAGGCAGGAGGATCATTGCAAGTTCAAGACCAGCCCAGGCTACAAAGTGAACTCTAGACCAGCCTAAACTGCACAGTGAGAGCCTGTCTCAAGAAGACCATAGAAAATAAAATGGTAACAAATATATGGAATAGAGAAAATATTTGGCAAAATATCACAATTATAACTCAATTAAAAAATAGGAAAAAAGATCTGAATGAACATTTCTCCAAAGAAATGGGCAAAAAAAATCTTATTTATCCAACGGTACCAAACAGCCAATAAACACACACACCCAATATCATTAGTCTTTAAGGAATTAAAATTAAAATCACAACAAAGGGCTCAGGTATAACTCAGTGCAGAGTACTTCTTAACAAGCAAAGCCCTGCATAGAAGCCACAGCACTACTAAACAGCCACAGTGAGATACTATTTCACTCGTTCAAGACAACATTAAGTGTCAGTAAGGATTTAGAGAAATTAAAACCTGAATTGCTGCTATTGGAATGTAAAATGACACAGCCTAGAAAACACTTTGTCATCAACAGATTATATGTAATTCCCATATGACACAGGAATTCTCCAATACATTTGCAAGAAATGAAAACATGTTCCCACAAAAAGTTATCAATGTTATTCACAATGGGACAATCTAGAAACAACTCAAATCTGTATCAGTTGAAAAATACATTAAAAAATGTAGTACAGTATATCCATAAAAGAAGTTATTTTGCTAATAAGATGGAAGCACTGATGTGTGTTACAACAGGAACTTACACCTTGTGAACAAAGTCAGTCACAAAAGGCTACATCCTGCTGGATGTGGTGGCACATATCTGTAGTCCCAGTACTCTGGAAGCCGAGGAAGGAGGATTGCTGCATATTCCAGGCCAGTTTGGACTACACAGTAAGACCTTATCTCAGAAAAACCGATCCACACCAAAACAAAGAAGACTACATACTGTATAATTCTAACTGTATGAAATTTCTAAGATAGGCAAATTCATATAAAAAAGTTCATTAGAAGTTGCCTGAAGACCAGAGGAAAGCAAAACCTAGGAAGTCACCACTAATAAAAAGCACTTCTGTTGAGATAATGAAAATGTTCTGAATTGTATTTTTTTTTCTTCCTTTGAGACAATGTCTCATTATGAAGTTCAAGCTGGCTCACTTTGTAGCCCAAACTGGTCTTGAACTCACAAAGATCCTCCTGCCTCAGCCTCCAAAGTGCTGGGATTATAGGAATGTACCACCACACCCAGCTCAATTGTGAATATTTTATTTATTTACTTGCTTATGCTGCTGAGCTAAATCCCCAGCCCTGGATATTATATATACTGTTCATTTTTCTCTTTTTTTTGGTAGCAGGAATCGAACTCACGACCTCAGACTTGCCAGGCAAGCCCTGTGCTACTGAGCTATATCCCTGGCCCTCATTTTTCTCTTAATAAAGAATGCAAAAATAAATGCTAGTAAAACACTATGTAACAGCACTTCCTTCTGCTTTACATCTATTAGAACTAAAACATAACATGGTATTTTTTTACCAAAACTAATACTATATTATTTCTAAAGATTCTTAGATATTTCTTGCATTTATACATCTGAATAACTTTCAGTATCTGTTAGTAATCTATTCTTTGAAAATGTTTTCACCTCAAGAAATCAACAATACAGCTGATTCCTTTAAAAATGAAGTCGAGGCTAACATGTAAGATGCTTTGTAAAATAACTGAAAAGAAACCAGGTTACAAAAACTGGGGTTAGGCTAAGTGTGGTGGTTCCTGCTTGTATTCCCAGTACCCTGGGAGGCTGTGGCAGGCAGAAAGATAGATAACAAGTCACAAGTTTGCCTGTCTCAAAAAAGAAAGGCCAGGGATGTAGCTCAGTGCAAAGATGCTGGATACAATTCCCAGTACCATTTTAAAAATTCTATCTATGTATGTATCCATCTCATACAATGACAAGTAATAATGGGAATAAGTGGATCAAGTCAAGATGAGCCAATAAAAAGTACTGAGGGAAGTGAGAGTAGTCAACTGGTTGCCATGTGAATCCAGATCCCATTTTTCTCAAGACCCCAAATCTGTTTATGTGAGATCTCAGTATTAAATTTGACATAATTCAAAAAACAAAATCTTCTGTTCTAGTTACTTTTAGATTTTCTCAAAGGCTAAATTTTTGATTTGGTATTTTACAATAATAGGTACCATGCTAAATGTGTTATGAAATAAATTTTAATGTATTTGTTAGCACAGAAATTATTTCCAAGTTTATAGCACTATTACAGACTTAATACTGCAAACACTTTTGAGATCTGATGCCAGTCATTCTAGCTAACACTCATAAAGAAATAAGACTAGCTAGACTGCTAAGGCCTCAGTCTTTTCCAATTAAATACTCAAGGGCAGATTTTGGACAGAATTCCACAACCTGGGAGCAGTGTCCAGCGACAAACTTCAAGGTTCAAAAAAATTTTGTTTTAAATCAATGCTTAATACAATTTTTGGCTTCTACTGTACAACATATGTGTACTTACTTCAATGCAAAACTGTTCTATTTTTTCTTTCTGTAATATTCACCTAGGTTATTTTGTGGTTTCACAAAACCTGTAGCACAAGGCTAACTCGGGGTAATAGACGACCTGTTGACAAACTAAGGAGTCAGTGTTTATCCGTTACGGTTTTTCTTTTCTCTCTTTGGAAGTCAAAGTCCTTTCTTGGAATATGGTTTTAAGGTATGATGCATAAAACATATTCTCAAAAAACTTTAATCGTAACACTACAGTACTATGCATGAGAGCATGATTGAAGGAGACTCACAGAAAAAACTCATTTTCAATAGTCGGTTTTACAACCGTCCCAAATGTTTTTAAGATCTAAGCAATACATTTTAAAACATTTCATTTTCCAAAATACCGCATGCCTTACAACAGTCTATCATCTCCGTAGAGTTTAGACAGCTTTCTCCTCTCCTCCTCACTCCCTATAGGATAAATTCACCACTCCTCTTCCCACAAAACTCCTTCTTCCAAAAACCCGAATCAAAGACAACGCCTCTCCGCGCAGAAGCCGCGGGAGGAGGAGAAAGAGGAGGAGTAAAGCAGGCCTTGTGCATGCTGGCCTGTGGGAGAGCTCTGCAAGCAGAGGCGGGCGCTGTCCCAGGTTCACACCGGGCCCACCACTGCGGAGTCCCCGCGGCCTGGAGACAATGCCCCGTAGTGATGCTGGCTCGGTACCCAGCGCGTGCAGCGTGCGGAGGAAGCTGCGCTAGGGTGGACGACTGCTGGTCAAGAGTCTGCACGGCCTCCGCGGCTGGGACGCCGGGTGAGACACACGGAGTACCGCTCAGACCCTGCGCGTCTGCAGGATCGCTGCAGGGTCAATCGGACCGTACAAATGGCCCCCGGTCGCCTCCCTGCCTCCTCACCTTTGCCCGGCGGCCCACCCTTTGGAGCCGCAGAGCTGCCAGCAGAATCCTTGCGCAGGGCTGGGAAACGACGAAAGGCGGCCTGACAGGCTAGGACAACTCCAACTCCAGAGTCGCTGGGCCTTCCGGGTTCCGCTCCCGGGAACGAACCCCTCCCCCTTGCTCCGCTCCCGCCCCAGTGGTGAGGACCCCGGATGTTACTTCCTTAGGCGCCCTGAAGCCCCGCCCTTTCTGCTCAGGCTCCGGCCCCTTCCGAATCCGCTACGGATCCCGCAAGGCCCTACAAGATTTTCGACGTCTCTTGGGTGGCTAGAGTGTCTTCCTGCGCTCTGGCGCGCTGCAGGTGACGGCGCCCGGAGGCTGTCGGGAAGTAGGCGGGGTGACGTGGGGTTGACGATCTCCGCGGCGGGTTTGCTGAGAACTGTGGCCGGCGGCAGCTGGTTACGGGGGGCGGCCAAGTGCGAGTTGGTGGAGCGGGGCGGTTTGTGGCCGGGGCCATGACGGGCAATGCCGGGGAGTGGTGCCTCATGGAAAGCGATCCCGGGGTCTTCACCGAGCTCATTAAAGGATTCGGTGAGAACCAGGGGGACCGTTTTGGGCCGGGGGTCACGGGAGGAGGCCCAAGCGGGGCACGGAGTAGCTACTTGAGACCACCGCCACCCCGTGCCTGAAGAGAAGTAACTTCGGGAACCTGGAGTTGAGGTGGGGGCACGCAGGGCGTGTGCCTCTCCTCGCCCTGGAGCAGTCGCGTTTCTGCAGTAGTTTTCAGAGCCACACCACGAGGGCAAGGATCGTGGCTGTCTCGTGGACTGCTATATACTCAGGACTCGGGACTCAAAATACTTTGACTTGAGGGCCTTTCCTCTCCTGTCCAACACCTCGTGCTCGTCTTCTTTTCCACTCACTGTCCCTTCTTTGCGGAGCCTCCCTATGCCGGGCCAGTTGCTTAGGTGCCTAGCTCAGGTACCAGTCCTGCAGGAGAAGCCAGCCTAAGGGAGTGACTTCTCGAGGGTGGTGGTTGAGGCCCAGGCCGCCTAGGAACTCGAGATTCTACTTAGACTCCAAACTGAACGCTGTGAGTGTGGGAATGGCACGTAGGCGTGCACACACGCTGACTGCGTGGGCGTGGGAGTCAGCTTCGCTGGTTCTTTTGCTCCCAGAGCAGTTGTGGTTTCTGGTAAAGTGAGTTTTCTTGAGGTAGAGCTCTAGACTAGAGACCACATGCTTTCTTTATTATACCTCTCTACCTTTATTCATTTCCGTCTATACTAGTCAACATATGCTTTTTTTCCTTCCATTTCGCTTTGCAGCCTCTTTGCTTAGTGGGTTTATTTTTATCTGTTACATTTCACCAAGTATTCTAGCCATTATATTAAAACTTGTACTCGGGCTAGCAATTAAATGTTAATGTGGAGATTATCTATTGTATATAACTGAACATGTGCAATATTTATCTGGCATATGTTGTGCATCTACTGTATTTCAAGCACACTGATAAGATTGGAAAGTTTTAATGTGAATGGTCTGACTGCTGTTCTGAAGAATTGGCAGCCATAATGTGTTAACTGCTGTGTTTAGTATGTACAAAGTTAAGAACATGGGTTAAGGAAGAGCTTAGGCACAAAGAAAAGTATATATATACATATATATGTGTATATATATAAAACTAGTACAGTGATTACAGCTAGTAAAGTGCCTACAGCATAACGTATTGATCAAGAAGAGTATTTGGATCTGAAGCTGAAAAGTCCAGACTATCTGATTGGATTACCTGGTATTCACTGGGAATTTACCTCAAAGATAAGGAAATTGAAATTACTGACTCGGAATTATTATTGTTATTTTTGTTTGTCTTTGTACTAGGGATTGTACTCAGGCTCTACATCCCCTTTACTTATTTTTTATTTTGAGACAGGATCTTGCTAACTTTCCCAGGCTGGGCTGGAAATTGTGAATCTCTTGCTTCAGCCACCCAGAGTGCTGGGATTACAGGCCTAGGCCACCATACCTGGCTGGCACGAAGTTATTTTTATAATCAAAGTTAACTGTGCCTGTGTTGTGCAGAGTAGATTAGAATGAAGTGAGAGAAACTAGCAGTTTCTTTAAAATGGTCAGAATTTGAGGTAGTGAGATAGAAGAAAGATACAGAAATTTTACTGTATTTAAATCACTAGTGGCATGTGCAAATGCCTTCTCCTCATTCCTTGTGGAGCAGGAATATATCCATGACATGCTACATTAAAAAAAGGAGTTTTCAGGGCTGCCAACCTTACAGTAGAGGTTGAGTGGTAGTATATTTCTCCTACATTAAAGGAAAAAATTTATTAGGACTGCTCACTCACTGGTTGTGGGGAAGGAGGCACCAACTTTCTGGTTTCCAGCTTGGGTGGCTAGTGAAGTGCAATTACAATAAAAAAGCAGGCTTGATGGACAAGAAAAAAGGTCAATTTTGGACATACCCTGAGCTTGAGAATTCTGCAGGTTTATTCCTAAATTTTAATTTCAAAAACTTAGTTGTTACGACATGTTAAAATTGACATTCAGAAATAATTACTAGACAGTTTTTTAAAGTTAATTGTTCAACTCCATTTGTGTGGAAATACTGAAATTTGAGAAAGATTTAAATAGTCATGCATCAGAAATAAAAAGTGCACCTTCTAAACTTGCACATATGGGCCTGGGGATTTGACTCAGGGGCATAAGTGCCTGGCTGGCAAGTGCAAGGTCATGAGTTCAATCCCCAGTACCAAAAACAAACAAACAAAACAAATAACCTTGAACATAAGAAAAATAAAACAATATCTGCTAATGGATTGGCTGTTAGCAGAATTTTGCGAAAAATCTAATGCTGGTATCAGATGCTTCAGAGAAAATTAAGTCATTTCCGTGTGTTCTCGAATCTAAAAAATGCTTTTCGGCTGGGCATGTGGTACTTACTTGTAATACCAGCACTGTGGGGGGTTGAAACAGGAAGACTGCAAATCTTAGTCTAGCCTGGGCAATGTAATGGGTTGGTGAGACCTTACAGCTCAATGTGAAGGTCTTGAGTTCAATTCCCAGTACCTTCTTCCCAAAAAAAGTGTTCTTTCGAAAGTAAAACATCTGATTGTATTGTGAATGCCATTATAAATTCATTTAAAAAGTTTCATTATTGAAGGGGAAATTATTTGTGAATGCAGTGAATACATAAATATAAGTTTTAGTGAAATATGGCAAAAGTTTTTTAAAACTGAGAAACTGATGGAGCAGAACTATACATTAATTGATGTGTTGACTGTGTACCACATAAATGCACCAAAACCAAACTGTGATAGTTTACTAATAAGTAGAAACAGTATGTTCCTTATTTTATCCCAGGGAGAATTAGGGTAGAAAGAGCAGACTACCAGACCAGTGACCGAGCTTTCCTTTTAAGGGATTAGAAAATAAAGAGCACATTGATCTAAGACAGTGAGAGTGAACTTTTTAGAGCTTTTATTTTGTTTATTTTTTAGGTACTGAGGATCAAACTCATGACCTCTTGCTTGCTAGGCAGGTGCTTATGCCACTGAGCTAAATCCCCAGCTAGAGGTTTTAACGATAACAGTTGGCTGCTGCAGGCATGTGTCATGGATTCACTATCACTGACCTAGAGTAAGCAGCTAAACAGAAACAATAAAAATCAGAGTTGAAATTGAAAAACAACGGAGGAAAATTAATGACACCAAAGTGTTTCTTTTGGATAAGTGAAATTTGATAATACTCTAGTGAGACTGATCTACAAGACAGACATAAATTAAAATCGATATGAATCAGAAAGGTGACATCACTACAGATTTTACAGGTATGATAAGGATATTGAAATATTACAAAGAATTTTGTGTCAATAAATTTGATAATTTAGGTGAAAATGTAGAGATTCCTTTAAAGCTATAAATGAAGCTCACTCAATAATCAGTACAGTCTTATATTTATTACTGAAATTCAAATTGTAGTTTAAAATCTTACAAAGAAATTCTTCTAGCTAACACTACTAAATTCTGTCAACTAAGAAATAATACCAATCCTATGTAATTTTTAAAAGCAAAATTGGAAAGGAAGGAGTACTTGTAACTCATTCTGTGAGGGCAAGCTTTACCTTGTTGGCACCAAAACCAAAAACTGCAAGAAAACTACAGATACATCCATAATCAAGATAAATGTAAAAGTTCCAAACAAAATTTTAGAAATTGAATCCATTAATACAGTTAAAAGGATAACACATGATGACTTAGGTAGTTTACATCCACATTCAGGATTGGATTAACATTCAAGTATCAAAAGAAGTCACTGTATTAAACTAAAAAAAACTCAGTTGTGCAAAAAGCATCTGACAAAGTCCAACATCTGTTAAGAATTATAAAGGTTTCATCTTATCCTGCTGCAAGCTAACAGATTGGCTTGCCAGTTTCATAGGTGCTGTCAGAAAACTTCTGGTATGCAGAAAAATGTTCGTATTACTCATAGCCTAGCGCACTGCAGGAGATTGGTGTTTGTGAGCGTTCCCTTGTTTTTGAAGTCAGGATGGAAGTAGACCACTGTGGATGCTGCATACACAGTGAGTCTGTGTTATAGTTGAAGAACTCTGAGCCTAGGAAAATCTCTTTCTTACAGAGGGCCTGTTAGCAAACCTGCTCAATTTTTGTCTCGGCATCATTTATTATTCACAACTATAAGTAAGTCTTCCATCTGCTGCAGTTATCTCAGTCTTCCAAATCTGTTAACTGAACATTCTTGAAAAGCTAGTACTATGCTCCATTGCTTTCAACTAGCGTAGTGTTATATACCTATTATCCTAGCAGTCTGGAAAGCTGAGGCAGGAGGGTTCCAAATTTGAGCCCAGCATGGGCAACTTAATGACTTAGCCTGACCATGTTTCAAAGGATTAAAAAAAATAAAGGGCTAGGAATATATTAAGCTTAGTGTGAAGTTCCTAGGCTTTAGGTTTATTCTCCACTGCTGGGGGAAGAAGAAATCTTAAGCAGTGCCAGTGATCCCTCTCAGAAAACATGCAGAGCTAGGAGAAGCACATTGAGAATTGTCTCTGAACAATATCTATCTTTCCTTTCCATGCCAAATATTCCATTCCTTCAGATACTGTGATTAATCTGACTTGACCTATAACCAAATGTGTTTATCTCCCAGTATACATGTTAGAAAGCCAGTTAGCTCTGTCCTTAAGTTTTTGTATTGACCTTTTCTTTTGGCCTGAGGCATTAACTCATTTACAACAGGTTGTATTAGTAATTTGCAGACTCCACTTTGGCATGATGGAAAGTCTGGAGTCATCTTTATCTGTAACAGCTGACTCATGTAAGGCAGATCTGAATGACTTTTGAGTCAACATGTTGATGGCTTAACATGAAGGCCCATTCAGACCATTTCTGAGGTGTATTTTTCCTTGCTTTGAGGAGAGGTGAATTAATACCTGCCTTTCATGTAAGAAGCAGAAGTATAGTCTCGGAAGTTAGCTAGGGTTGGGCTCCTAAAATGAGGCTTACTGGAGGAGTGCAAGTTAATAGTGCCTCCAAGTTAGGGCTCCCCATTCAGCTCAAGTGTTGCATAGTCCTTGATTTTGGAGAGGTTGTTTGAGGGCTGTTAATCCGCTTTTTCCTGTTTGGTCACATCAGCCAAATGGCATTTATACTATGGGATAACAGAATGCAGATATATTTTGTGGGAAGTCCAGAAGCTGCAGCCATTCCTAATGCTTTTGGTGGACTTGGTAAGGTTAGAGGAATGAGATTCATAGTGTAAAACTGCTTACTGGACCTCATCATAGGAATGCATGCCTGTAGTCCTGACTACATTCCTGAAGCATCAGAATTGCAGTTTGGAGGCAAGCTTGGGTAATTTGGTAAAACCTTGTCTAAATGAATGAATACCATTCTGTTGAAAGACAACATACTGAGTATTTGAGTAAGGTACTGGCAACAATTTGGGAGAACCCCACCAGAATACATTTTTGGGGGGAGGAAGGCTTCAGTTGTAAAAAGGTTATTTTTGAAATTATTTGTAGGAAAACACTTTTAGAGACTACCAATATCGTAAATGTGTTAGTTGATATGTAAATATTTCAGAAATTCTGTTACCTTAATTTTAGTATCTACTTTTTTTGTTTTCTGGTAGAGGTGACAAAACATATCAGTCCCATTTCAGACACAGTTCAGTTATCCGTGAAAGTTTTTCTCAGCAGCACGGATATAATAATCTCTCCTACTTCTGAACTTACAGAATATGTCTTGTAACTCCTTGTATGTAATTTATGCATACTGTACTGTCCTTGAGTTGTGTGTGTCCTTGCTAGGGGATAGCTTGACACCCAAAAGTTACTTTGTAAGTTTATTTATTTCATTAACCCATAAAAGTTTTCCTCTTTCCTTTTACTTAATATAAATTATTAGAGCAGTTTGTATTAAGTTCTTTGTGTTAGTGTTTGATTACTGTATTGCTCACCAAAATTTTCTACATCAAGTAAAGCAGGCAATAACTTTATTTTCTGTATATACTAGAAAAGTGAGAATCAAAGGGTTTGTGTTTTTACTTAAAGTTAAGAACTTTAAGGCAGTTTCTAGGCTTACAATCCAGATCTCTGCAATCATTGCTTATTTCTCTTCCCACTATATAATGTGTTGGATATTGAGTGTGTTTAAGCATATAGATGCAAACAGGTGCTGTGCTTTACTTACATAAACAAATGTGTTTAACATACAATTTTTAAAGTAGTATCATCACTTGAAATTCTGCCTGTGTAAAAGGTTTGGAAGCACTTTTATTTAGGAGAGTTTTTTCTTTTTCTCCTTTATTTTGTTGGAGACAGGCTCACATATAGCCCAGGGTGGCCTCGAACTCACAACAGTCCTCCTGCTTCAGCCTCCTGAGTGCTGGGATTATATGCATGCGATATCATGCATGGCTTTTCCTTTTTTTAAATGTGGTATGATATATAGACTATTTTAATGTTTGGCAGCTTTTTGAGCAGTGGCTGTGTAGGAGCAGTAACCACCGTTCACAGTTGCGTTAGTGTCTTCTATGCCTTCTTGGTACTCATTAAAATATAGGTTCATATTTATGACTTTTTTCCCCTAACTTGATATATGTATCTATCAGTCTTGATCTGTTGCTAGTAATATAGATTTCTTTAAGTTCTTTTCTATTTAGAATTTGTACAGTAATTCTCCTGTGCATACTTTTTAATACCAGAGTAAGTACACAGTGGGTACTTGCTAAACAGATCAAACAGGCGCAGAACGATATGAGTGCCTGAAGTCACACTATTTATTGACCTGTCCAAAACAAAAATTTTATATGTGCTAGTGATTAAACCCAGGGTTTCATACATGTTCTACCATTCAGCTACATCCTCAACCCCATTAAAAAACAACAACAAAAAATTTTTTTACAGGTGGCCTAAAGACTTCTCTAGCTCTCATTTGAATGTAGTCAAAAACATTAGAAAGTACCTAAACTTTGGAACTAAATGTGGATTTTAATTAGTTTTCAGGAATTTATAAGCTGTAGTACATTTAGGCAAGCCACTTAATATCTCAGAACCTCTTCCATTCAGTTCTTGCCTTGTAAGAGATTAGAGAAAATGTGTTTAAAGCACTTTATACATAGAAGACACTAGTAAATGCAAATTTTTGATATTGTGGTAATATACCTAAAATTAGGCACTACATTAGCTGAATTTCATGTATTCTCTTTTCTCACAACTACTCTTTTGCATACTGGAGATGGGAGAGGTTAAATAGTTATATAGGTAGTAAATGGCAAAGCCATGTTTCAAACTCCAGCAATTTGAGAGTACTTGATTATTTATATGGTTTCTCAACTTTACATGGTACTGTTTAGGATAAATGATTTTTTTTTTCTTTTTCTTTTTTTTCTTATTTTTTTTAGACAAGGCCTTATCATGTAGTCCATGCTAGCCTTAAATTCACTGTGTAGCCTAGACTGGCCTTTAATTCACAGCAGTCCTCCTGCCTCAGCCTCCCAAGTGCTGGGATGATAGGTATGTACCACCACATCTGGCTGGGCTAAATGGTTTTTTAAACTTTTTTTTTTTTTTTAGTAGTGTTTTGCTATGTTGCTCAGGCTGGTCCCAACTTTCTGGGTTCCAGCAATCCTCCTGTCTCAAGTCTCCAGTAGTTGAGACTATAGGCATATGCCACTGTTCCCACTGTTGCCCACCTCTACTACTACATAGTAATAATATCCCCCTATTTTAGTGACAATTGTGACAATAAAAAGTATCTGTAGATATTACTAGATGCTCCTTAAGGAATAAAAATCCCTTGGTTGAAAATCACTATCATAGAGCATGTTTGGGAAGGGAAGAGAGGTGATTGTGAAATAGTTGAAAGTATATAGTTGAAACTTGGGAAAAGCCCAGAAGTAAAGCTGTGAGATGAAAGTCACTGTGAAGTGGTAATTCTTTACTTTCCAGAAGGAAAAAAGTGTGTGTGTATATATATATACATATATATATATTTTTTTTTACTTGTTAATATTAAGAAAAAAAGGTAAAGCAAATTTTCACAACAAAATAAAAAGTAACAATTGTTGATAAATTACACATCATTATCTTTAGTCACTCAAGTACAAAATATGGGCATAAAAATTTCTTCATTCAATATTAGCACAACCTTTCTTATTCAGTGAACTAAGTGACACTAATGGTATAACTAACTTGCATTTTTTTCTTTTCCCTTCTATCCTTTCTCTTTTCCCCTATCTTAGTTTCTTCTTTTTATTGAACAGTTTCCTCCCATTTCACAGTGACTATTGTATATTTTGAACCTTATGGTTTCACATATGTCACTGTGGTGTGATGTTTTTCAATCCTTCTGGGAAGATACACAGAAGGGGAATACCTGGGTTGAATGGGACCTCTAATCCTAATTTTTTTGAGGAATCTCCACACTGATTTCCACGGTGTTTGTACTAGTCTACTCTCTCTTTCCAATAGTTGTAAAGGGTAAAAAAGTGTATATTAAGAAGGAAAATTAAAAAGAGGGCTAGGGACAGAGTAAGGGAAACCTGGTAGCTGAAAAGGAGCCAGAGATTGAGGGAAACAGAAGAAATAGTCCTAGAATGCTGATTAGACTCTTAAAACTATAAAGTTATAATATACTCTCTAAAAAAATAATTGAGAATTACTAAAGATAGTAATAGGGTTTGACTTTGAACTTTATCAGTTTTACTATTTCATTTGTCATATCATACTATCCTTAGATGTGCCTTTCTTGAAGTTAGTATTTTGTGATGAAAACGAAGTTTTACTAAATAATTTTTATTTTAGGTTGCCGAGGTGCCCAAGTAGAAGAAATATGGAGTTTAGAGCCTGAGAATTTTGAAAAATTAAAGTAAGTAATATTTTAGTTGTGTTAAACATACAGTACTATGCTTTGGCAAACTTTTAAAGGGTACTTAGATCTGTGTTTTCATGAATTACCCAAGGTTGAATACATTATCTTTAAATCTTTTTTCAATCCTGTGAGATAGATATTACAGATTTGTAATGCATAGATATATAACTTGCAAGAGATTCAAACTTAAATTTTTGTAGTTTTATGTCCACAAACTACAGACTGGTTGATTTTTCACAAAATTCACTATTAAAAAGCCATGAATAATAAACTAGTTTACAAAAGTATATTTTAAAATGCTGTGTCTTATTAGTAATTCAGAAATTATCCAGATGTGGCATATGCCTGTAATCTCAGTACTCTGAGAGGCTTGGGTAATTAGACCTTGTTTAAGAGTAAAAAGCACTGGGAATGTTGCGTATTAGAAAGGCCTTAGCTTCAATCCTCAGTTCCACAAAAGTAAAACAAATAAAGAAATTACACGTTATCACATTGTATAAAGTACAATTCAAATTCTTAATGTAGATGCCAGGGAAAAATTTCCCCTACTTCCTTGTTTTTGAACACAATGACTTAGAGCTTTTTACCCTCAGCCTCCATACTCTTGAGCATTGTTCATGTATCTGCAGAAGGATTCCTTGAATGGGGGAGCAAGGTATAAGGGGACTAGGGAAGAATATGGCTACTTTGGTACAGTGTTTGCCTAGCATGAGCAGGGACCTGAGATTCATTCCCTAGCACTGCAAAATAGACTTAAAAAACAGAAAACGTTTTTGTTGAGGGGACAATAGAGGACAGCCAAAAGTAAGGATTTAACTTTGCAAGTGCCTTAGTGGTCCATTAGGAATCTGATCGTATTATAGTCTGACACTGTTATGTATATTTCTAATAGTTACATGAAGGTAACTTCTTTTAATAATATATATGCTATCAACTGTTTATCTATAAACATTCTGTAAAAACTTTATATATGTTTTAAAATGTAATCTAGGGTTAGCATCTAGTTTATATATGTTTTAAAATGTAATCTAGGGTTAGCATCTAGTTTTGCTATGTTCTTAATTGTCTTGTCCTGTCTTGATCTGTCCTGTCCTGCCCTGTCCTGTCCTTTTCTTTTCTTTTGGTCTTTCTGACATTGTGCAGCTCAGGCCGGTCTTGAGCTCATTTTGTAACCCACCCAGACTGGGTCCTGAATTTGCAGTGATCCTCTTGCCTCAGCTTTCCGAGTGCTAGGATTACAGGTGTGTGCCACCACACCTGTCTTCAATTTTCTGTTTTTAAGTGAAATATTATAAGGTAGAAATGAATAATATACAGATTTGAAAAATAAAATTTATTATGATTCTTTCTTATGTAATTTTTAGTTTTATTAATATTTATGGCAACATTTTAGTGATGAATGACAGTAACAGTTTTAAAAATTCCTCATATTAGTTTAGTTTACTAACATTGTACTCATTAAATCTATATTACTGATGTGTTATAAAAAATGCTTTGGTGTCACTAATTATTGTTACCTTTTTTTTTTTGTAGGCCAGTTCATGGGTTAATTTTTCTATTCAAGTGGCAGCCAGGAGAAGAACCAGCAGGCTCTGTGGTTCAGGACTCCAGACTTGACACAATATTTTTTGCCAAGCAGGTATGGTCCTATGATACCCTGAAAAATCTCAGGAGCCAAGAGACTTTATCTGTGTGCTTGTAGTATTGCAGTCCTTAAAAATCTCTTTACACACTTCTAAGATCATTTCCCCAAAAAGCTTTTGTTTATTGGAGTGACTTTCAATATTTTCCATGTTAGACATTGAAACCACAACATTTAAAAAATACTCATCAATAGATTCAGAAATAACAATAAAGTTGTTATATGTTAATACAATTTTTTTGGGGGGGGTTGTTGGTTATTAAACAAGGGTCTCATGCATGCTAGGCAAGCACTTTATTATTAAGTTACATGCCCAAGTCAAAAGAACATATATTTTAATGAAAAACAATTATTTACCAAACAAAGTCAATGAAAAAAGTACATTACTGTAAACATTTCCGATCTCTTTAATGGCTGGCTTAGTAGCCCATAGCTAGGTTCTCTTCTCTGATTCTTCAGTTTTTTATGCTTTTTTTTTTCTTTTTGTTGAAAAAATGAAGAAAATTCAGTTTTCCATATACATGTAGCCAGAAAAGGCTGGGATTACAGGTGTGTGCCACTATGCCTGGGTAATTAGGATATTTTTAAAGACTACATTACAATTCAATTTTCTTAAATGTTGTCTGGAACATAAAGTTTGTGCTCTATTATGTTAAAATCCTTTGGATTTTCTTGCTTTTCAAATGGACTTGTTTGATAGTGCATTGGTCATTTACTTTCTTAAATGTTAGCTACAATGTAAAATTTATTCTTTATTATGTTAAAATTCTTTGGGTTATCTTTCTCTTCACATGAATGTTTTTGATCCTACGTGATTCTATAATGTTGCTCGTTGTTCACTTGAAAGAATCATTGATTTAGACACTTCTTTCTTGTACTGACACATAAGGTCAGTACAAGAAATAGCAAATTACAATATTAGAATTACTACCCATTTCTCAGAAAAGTCATTAAATATGAAATTTTTTAAGTTCACAGAGTTTGGTCCAAGGTTTTTTGTTTTGTTTTTGATCCAAGTTTTATAAAATTCTGATTTCCACATGAAAGTTCAAATTTTGTCAATAACAAATATTAGATATTTTCCTCTCATGTTTTAAGAAAACATCTGCCATATATCCTTGTCTGAAAATCACATTTGTCAGAAACATGTTCTTTCATGTAAAAATGTTTAAAAAATAAAAGGAACAAGTTAGCTGACGGCTCTAGGAGGCTGAAGCAGGAGGATCACTATGATTTTGAGGCTAGCCTGGGCCACATTGTGAGTTCACGGCCAACCTGACTGTACAGCAAGTCTCAAACAACTCCCCCCCAAAAAGTACTCTATAAAGAAAATGAAATGATGCCAGTGTATGAATTCATGATTTCTAAAGCCTCTTGATATTTTTCTGTTACATCTTTACTGATCATTCTTTACTATAATTTAATGTTTTATTTTTATTGTATTTTCCTGCTACCATTATTAAGATGTCAAGTTACTAGTTCCCCAGTAATACCATTTCTGTATTTTATGGTGTTAACAGTTCTTACTAAACTGACAGATCAATATTTCCTCAATAATACCTGTAAGTTTTTTAACTGTATACCTTCTATGAGTGCTAGGATACAGTTGTACTGTATACAAAAAGGTATACAGTTAGGCTCTACCTACCGTGGAGCCTTGCAGTATATATTATTATAAATATGTAATTCTTGGTTTTAGGCTTTCAAGAGCTTATAGTAAGAATTTCCAACCCAAAGTGTCTGGAGTCTAAGCAGTATTTTCAGAAATTTAAAAAATTAATTTATTTATAAATAAATAAATATACAGATTAAATATATAATATTAACAGACATGAAATGGATAGCATAAATATTTATATGTAGAGTGGTATCAGTTTAAATAACCCTGACCATCTTACTCTAATCATATGCTGTACCTGGAGGTATAAATATAATTGGCTAGTGGAACTTCAAGGACTTGAGGTGTAGCTCTAGCATGTGCAAGACCCTGTGTTAATCCTCAGTATCACAAAAACAGAAAAGATACGCACAGGCCTGTGAAATTATATCCTTGTAATTTTTATATAAGGATCCAGAATGACACTTTGATAATGCGTTTCTATTACACATTATCATCTTGTTACCATTTCACTGACAAGAATGTTAAGGTATTGTGATTTACTTAAGATCGTGCTGCAGTGGTGCTAGGTTGTCTAACTACATCTGTTCAGTCATCAGAAAAGAACGAGTGAGTACACAGTATGCCGCATATGTGTCATGCTTGGAGAATGGAAAATTGTCAGTGATTCCTGCTCTCAAGTATATACAGAGTTTAGTGGAGAAGATTAGTATTATCATTTAATGCAAAATTACAGTGCATGTAAGTACTGCATAAAATGAAATGAGAACTATGTTTAAAAGTTTGGGGACAGTCTATTAAGACTACTCATTTGGTCACTGATGCTTGTTTGGAATTCTCGTGACTGCACTCAGTCTTGACAGCAGTTACACATTTGAGAAGTATTTGTTCGTAAGACCAATCGCCTCAGGATCTATAGTTCAGTGGAAAGACTCACAGACCTCATTGAAAATTGTTATTCTCAGTAAGAATATAGATTAAAATCAGTCAAGGAAAAAATGATACATGGGGCAGAATCCAGGAAAGTTCTCTTATGTGACTTTTAGTTGTTTCCTCCTAATGGTACCACAAATGATGCTGATTTTCCTGGCATTGTTGCCTGATAATAACGTACAGGTGTTGCCCATCCAGAGAACTTCAACTGATTCTTGGCAGTCAGAGTTTTTACTGGGCCTCAGTCACATAAAACTGATTTGCCAGCCATGTGACTGGCCTCAGTCGTTAGCTCTGTAGGATACTGAGTTAATAATTTTGCCCCAGTTTCCTATCCCAAGTCACACTGCTAGACTAGTAGTACGGCACAGAGCTCCAACATACAAAGACTTTTCTCAGGCATGACTTTTCAAGGTCTATTAGAAGTCAAGGGAACAGACTTTTTTGGGACAAAGTTAAATACTTAGTTACACTCATAAAAATGGAACTTGACCTTGTTCAGGAAGTCTGAGAAAGCTCTTAGTGACAGTTTAGCTGAAATCTAAAGGTTAAGTAGGTATTAAGTAGGGGAGAGAGGTTGACGATCATTCCAGATTAACAATAGCTTTATGGCAAAAGGATGGAAGACTAATAATAAAGGTTAGAAGGTCACTGAAACTGGAGTGTGTAGAGCACCAGGGAGATTCCATGAAATAAAACCCTGAATAGGTAGTATATATTATTCAAGATTAAGTAGGGTAAAGTTTAGAAAAGCAGTGGTTTGTAAGAAATGAGTTTTTTTTTCCTTGTGTATCTTAGAACTGTGTAAGTTGCCTTCATTTTTAAAATTTGTGTATATCTTCTATTCCAAAGATTACTTCATGATTTGAGATGATTGTTGTAATTTCAACTATTCTGTCTCAATTCCATATTCCAGACTGCAGAGAAAGTGCATTCTGTTGACATCTATGAAAATTTTGTGAACTATACCCACGTCATGTGATTCCTTCTCTTTTACCAAAAGTCAGTAACTTGAGTTATCAGCAATGGATCCTTGGAAAGCGTTCTGCTTTTTGGGTGGCAAAACTGAATATTGGAGAACAAGTATCAGTCGACCAAGTTCAGACTGATTGTGCTGTGTATTTTAGCCTATTGAGACTTCTGTCTAATCTGTAATAGAAAGTTATTGAAGTGTTTTTAAAAATGTGGCATGATCAGATTTTCATTTAGAAGAGATTTCTTTGGTTACAGTTTTGGAAATGCATTTGAAAAGTGACATGAGATATCAGAGTAGATATTAATAGAAAGCTTTTGCAGAAGTCCATGTGAAGGTAAATAACCGCCTGGAAGCGGGTAACAGATTTGGATATGGTAACACTTATATGTCATGGATTGGATATGAGAATGGAGGCAGAAGATGTGTCAGTGATAATTTCTGTGGTTTTTTTTTTTCTTTAAAAAATGCATTTAAAATACACTGAGTGAAGCTCCAGTGATCTTTGATTGGTGACACACAGCACCATTTGTTAAATATGCTGACATTTCTCCAATGTATAGTTTTAGTTCTTTTGTCCAGAATCAAATGTCTCTAGTTGTGAGTTTCTGTGTTCTTTTTTTTTTTTTTTTCCTTCCTTGGTCTGTGTGTCTTTTTTTTTTTAATCAGTACTTGCTATTTTTGTTACTATGACTTTGTAGTATGATTTGAAATCAAATAATGTGATGTCTCCATCCTTGCTTTTTTTTGGTAAGATTATTTGGATTTCTTGAGCTTCCATGTAACTTTCAGGATCACTTTTTCTAGTTCTGTGAAGAATGTCACTGAAATTTTGATGGGAATTTCACTAAATCTATAGATTGCTCTTGGTAACATGGTCATCTTAATGGTACTAATTCTGCTGATCCATGAATATGGGTATTGTTTCCATCACTGTCTTCAGTTTCTCTGTGTAGTGTTCTATAATTTCCTTTGTAGAAGTCTTTTAACTCGGGTTGATTCTTAGGTATTTAATTTTTATATATACATATTTTCAGATTTTTCTTTATTGTTATAGTCTCTCTCTCTCTTTTTTTTTTTTTTTTTTTTTTTTGTCTTTTTCCTTTTCATCTTTACCAGTGATCGAACTCACGACTGCCTGCTTGCAAGGCAGGAGCTTATGCTGCTGAGCTAAAGCCCCAGCCCCCATTATATTCTCTTTATACGTAATGATCATATACATCATTAAGAATTTGTATCTGTACATGATACAACTTTTTTCCCATTTCTCTCCTCTCCATTCAGCCCCTCCCCTTCCCATTTACAAAAATTTGTTTCCATGTTTTCCTTTTCTCTCCTTTTTTTTACTTTTTCCTTCTTTCCTTTGTCCCTCCCCTCCATTTGACCATTTTCTTCCTATTTCACGACACTTATTACATATTTTGGTTCTTATTTATGTTTTGGTTTCTGATACCAGATAATGTGATATTTACACATGTATGTCTGATTTATTTCACTTTAGAGTATGGTCTCAAGGTGCATCCATTTTCCAGAAATGTCTCGAGTATGTTATTCTTTATGGCAGAGGAGTACTCCATTGTATTAAAAAATCATATCTTTATCCATTCACCATTTGATGGGCATTTGGGTTTTTTCCAAGATTCAGCTATTATAACTGTGCTGCTAAAACACAGATATCCATGTATTGCTGTGCAATGATGCTTTTAGAAGGGGAATGGCTAGGTTAAATGGAACCTGTAGCTCTAGTTTTTTGAGAATCTCCACACTGATTTCCACAGTGATTGCACCAGTCCATACTCCCACCAACAGTGTCTCACAGCCACTTCAGCATTTGATATTGGTTAATTTCTTGATTTGGGAATGTACTTGGAATTGAACTCAGTACCTCATGCTTGCCAAGCAGGCACTGCACTACTGAGCTATATCCCCGTCCCCTAGTAGTTAATTTCTTAATTACAGCCATTCTTTCTGGGATGAGATGGAATATCAGCATTATTTAAATTTATGTCTTTTAAATGACCAGTGATGTTGAATATTTTTTCATATATTTATTTGCTGTTTTTACTTCTTTATCTAAGAAGTATATATTCATCTCAGATGCCCATTTTTGGATTGGGTCTTTAAATTTGGAGGTCTGGTTTTTTTGAGTTCTTTGTCTGTTCACAGTGTTAATTCTTTGTCTGAGAAGCAGCTGGCAAGCATTTTTCCCCGCACTCACTATTAGCTGTCTCTTCACTCTGTTGGTTTCTCTTGCTGTGCTTTTAAAGCTTTTTAGTAAGATGAGATCCCATTTGTTGACTGTTTGTCACAGTTGCCATGTGATCACAGTTTTGTTCATAAAGTCTTTGCCTACTTCAAGAGTTTACCTGCTCTGTCTTCTAGCAGATTTAATGTTTCTGTTTCAATGTTTCGATCTTTGATCCATTTGACTTTATTTTTTTGCACAGTGAAAGATATGGGTTCAGCTTTGATCTTCAGCATGTGCAAAGCCAGTTTTTGAAGAAGTATTTTTGTACTCATATATACTATATTTGTATATTTTTATATTCATATATACTTTTATATTCATATATTTTTGTATTCATATATACTATACCCTCACACACAAAATGAGTTGTAATGTATCATAGACTGAATTATTACTGACCTCAGAAAAAACTAACTAGTTTTTATTTTACTTGTCTAAAAACTGGATTATAGCCTTGAAGTCCACTGATGTGTGTGATAGGACACTGGCGGTAGCATTGTGTGTATATCTTTTAATACATCATGGTTTTGAAAGATTGTGTGAATAAGTGTAAATTTTAATTTCTAACTTCATTCCTGTTATACTTATTCTCAGACAGTTTCATTTTAGCCCAAGATAAGGGCCAGAATTTTGTTGAAAACCACATTTGTGGTCTCCTTTAGTGATTAAAGTAATTCATTCAGATGTACTAAAGAACTGTGATTTGGATCAAAACCCATGTTGATAGGTAACAATTGACCGGCACAGCCCCAATGAAACAGGAGATGCCCTTGTGGGCGACAGTTAACTGCTGCTTTATTTACGCGGGCTCTGGTTTATATATTTGGCCGTGACCAATCACAGGCTGCCACGAGGAAGCAGGGCGGGAATGGGACGCAGGCTCTGGCTGCTATATCCAGCTGTGGCCAGTCAGGAGTTGCCACAGAGTACGGAGTGAGCACGAAGTGCGCACGGGTTGGCTAATTTAAAGAGGGATGTAGCGCATTGCGGAAGCTGGCGTGGTCCTTAGTCCCGGCTGGGGTATGGTATGTTGAGCGCCTGTGCCCAACAAACAATAACAATCTTAATTAGATTCCAAATCTTCTGTTACTCTACTTCATTGATTTTAGAAGTGCTTAAAGAGAGGAGTCATGCAAGGGTAATGATAATATTATATCTGTCAAGAATTGGGAGTATAGGCCACTTAGGTCAGTGGCTCAAGCAGTTGTCTGGTAAGCACACGGTTGTGAGTTCAATCCCTTATACAAGGAAAACAAAATGAAGAACACACATTTATCAATGCATACTGCAATGAGAAATTTTTAATAGTTAATAAATATTCATGTAACTTTAATTGCTTCTGGCAAAGCAAAAAAGTGGAAGACTGTAAGATTAAAGGAAGAACATAATTGAAATATTTTCTTTTGAAATGCAAAACAGATTTACCAAAATGTAAAATTTATATGCTAATTAAATCATTAGAAAGCCTGATTACAAAATGGTATTTAATTACAGTATAATAACAAAAAATAATTCTAGGATAAAGCTCTAAGTTTAAAAAATTGTTTACTTCTGTAGTTAACCTTACCACTATTCATAGATTTTGGGTCCTTTCTGACTGTGGTTTTATAACTACATCTGCCATAGGGAATGTGGAACAAACTGTTGTCCATAAATAACTTACAATCTTGTTGGAGAACCTAACTCTATGTACAGAGCTAGCTTAGTGTGATTGTTAAGTACAGAATTTCTAGAATCAGACTAGACTGTCTTTTGGTGAGGTGTGTGCCCTTGGAGACCCCTTCATGCCTCAGCTTCCATGAATACAAAACAAGGCTGTGGGTATTACTCCTTCATTACAGGTTGGTGAGAGAATGAAAAGAATATATGTGAAGTAACTAGAAACTGCCTGACACAAAGGTACTATCTAAACTTTTCTGGTTAGAATGTGAGGTCTACATAATTTGTTTAATGAACATTTAATGGCTGGATGACAATACTATACAGACTGTGAAAAAAAAAGACTGTACAAACAATACATACCATTTTGAGTATTCAAATAAGCATAGATATGTTGCAGCATTTCTCCAAAGGAAACAGAGGTAAGTTGAAATTTATTGTGTACTGAACCTTTTGCTGAAATTTGTGCTGTGTACTGAAATTTGTACTGTAAATATGGTTGAATTGGGTAGATGGAAGGAAGTTTAGAAGAAAGTAAATGAGAGGAAAACAAATTTTGTTGAATTAATCAGCTGTGTTTTAGGTTAGGATAATTGATCTTGTTACTTTAACTTAATTGGTTTTCACTGTTATGAATTTATTTAGATTCTTTGATTTCATAGAATGTCAATGCCAGAATTCCACCAAATTCTTGAAAATAGACTAGAGTAGAAATTAAACATGTTTATTATATGTCTAATAAAACTCCATGAAGTAAAATTTGAAAATGATTATATTTTGGATGTCATCGTTACCACTTAAACATTTTTTTTAAAAAAATTGACAATATCTTCTGTGTTAGAGTTCTTTCAGTAACACAATTGATAGAAAATATATGTGTGATGAGGCAAGGGGATTTACTAGGTAGGCCTATGGGATCAGAGGCTGAGAGTCCTGATGGCTGTCTCCATGCTGAAGAGCTGTGAGATCCAGTGGCTGAAAGAAGGTGAAAATCTCACAAAGGGGTTGAGGATTTAGGTTGAAGGCCTGGCAGCTCACTGAGGATCACTGGTATGAGTCACGTGTAACAAGGCTGAAGAAACTGGAGACCAGTATCCAAAGGGAATTACGACACCTGGATCTCGTTGAAAACAGAACACTTCCTTTCCCTTTTTTATTCCACCCAGGTGACAGGTCTATTGGTTGGTGCCTCCCACGTCTGGGGTATGTCTTTTTCCTTCAGTTTGCAGGAGTACTTGTCTCGTACTGCAGACATACCCAGCACTGCTTTACTAACCTGCTAGGCACCTTGTAATGCATTCAAGTTGACATACTGTGATTAATAGTCATATCTTCACTCTTATATTTTGTAGGTGATTAATAATGCTTGTGCTACTCAAGCCATTGTAAGTGTGCTATTGAACTGTACGCATCAGGATGTCCATTTAGGAGAGACATTGTCTGAGTTTAAAGAATTTTCACAGAGTTTTGATGCAGCCGTAAGTATACTCTATTTCCTAATCCTGAGTGACCTATTTGTGATGGTTCTTATTTTAATACACTACTTTTTAAATTATTTCAGATGAAAGGTTTGGCACTGAGTAATTCAGATGTGATTCGACAAGTGCACAACAGTTTTGCCAGGTAAACAGGCTTTATGTTAAGTAACTTCTGTTTCTTTTTTTGCTTCTTTGTCTTACTGGGCTTTTTTTCTCTACTCTAGGCAACAGATGTTTGAATTTGATGCAAAGACATCAGCCAAAGAAGAAGATGCTTTTCACTTTGTCAGCTATGTTCCTGTTAATGGAAGGCTATATGAATTGGATGGATTAAGAGAAGGACCGATTGATTTAGGTAATCTGGTTCCTGTTTCTGATATTTATCATTTAACGAGGTAAAAAAAGTTTGTTTTATATACACAGGTTGTTTAAAATTTAAAGCTAAAAGTTATTGTGAGGTAGTATAATATGAAAGTCATAGATTTTTTAATAAAATTAACATTTAGAAAGAACATGTTGTCTACTACAGTTCAGTTTAATATTTACCGTCTTTTTTCCTGAGAAAATACTTTTTTAACATAGATTATGGGATTTACATTTTATTTTCTAGTTAACTTTAAAAAACAATACTTAGTGAACTTGAAAAGATATTTTTATCATTTTTAACCCAATGATAGGGAAAGCAAGTTTATTTACTTTTTATGTATTATTTATTTTCTGGTACCAGGGTTCGAATTCACAACCTCATACATGACAGGCAAGTACCTGTGCCGCTGAGCTAAATCCCCAGCCTAATAGCAAGTGTTTTCAGTTAGAACTGTTCAGAATTACATTAATTTATTGTTTCCTATTTACTAAATAATTTTCTTTTTAGATGTGCATTAATATGCTGTTCTTTATTTAAGAGGTAAATTTTTTCATATCCTACTCATCTTGAACAAAAATAGTAGTTATTCAGGTTCAGGATCCAATCTGCAGTTTTGAAATACTACCAAAATAATAAGTTCACAAAACACCTGCTTTTCAGGGTTGGGATTGAAAGGGGCCTTAACACAGAGCTCCACCCCTCCTTCCCACAAAAGAATTTTTTTAACTTCTTATTTTCACCTCATTATATATATTTTTTTAAGTTAGATTGAAGTCCAACAAAATTTTTGAATATAATATTATATGCAGTTCATAAAGTGTATCCTTTTATACATTAAAAAAAATATTTAGAGCTGGGGAATAGTTCAGTGGTAGAGTGCTTCCTACCATATGTGAAGTCCCATGTTTGTTCCCTAGCACACTGCATACCAGAAAAACGTAATGTTTAATTTTGTTTGGACTTTTTACTTCTACCCCATGTATGGGACTAATAGTTTATCTAATATAGCTTTATATGCTGTCTCTATACTCAAAAATACTTAACTTTCCATATTTATTATTTAAAAGTTAGTATAATATTTTTCCAATTCTGTAAAAACTGCTTTTCCATAGTTTGGTAGTTGATAAGGTAGTTACATGTTCTCTGTTGACTTCTCTCTGGTCAGCTGTTTATTCACTTGAATTATCAATCTTAAAGAGGAAAAAGAACACACTAGCTAGTTTTTTCTTTTTTGGTACTGGGTGATTGAACTCACGACCTTGCACTTGCTAGGCAGTTGCTTATGCCACTGAGTTAAATCCCCAGCTCTAGCTAGTTCTGTTATACACTTGGTGACTATGTTAAAACAACATGAAAAGACGATTCAGACATTTGAGTAAACTTGATCTTGCATTATGAGTGGATTTAAGTTTTTTATTTTATAATTACAGTTGTGGGAAGTCAGACAAAATATTGAGTAAATAAGGATTGAATTAGCATGTAGGCTGGTTTTCTGAGCCTTCAATTTTATCACCTGTGAAATGAAAGTAGTTATCCTTATCTCAAGGATTATGAGTTTAAGTGAGATAACTTTCTAATTTATTACTTTAAATATTTACTAAGTGATATGGTAATATAATACAGATTATGATAATTCTATTACCAAGAATTGAAGTGTAACCTAATTATTCTAGAAGGATTCATATTGTCCTGAATTTATTAATTTATAAAAAGGAGTATTTTAGATCATATTTTTGAGAGAATGTTAGTATTGATTTCTCTTATTTTTGTTTTAACCTGTAAAATTTCTTTCTAGGTGCGTGCAATCAAGATGACTGGATTAGTGCAGTAAGACCAGTCATAGAAAAAAGGATACAAAAGTAAATATTTGGCCAAATTCATTGGCATAAATATTGTGGTTTTTAAGTGTTTTGTTGTTGGTGGTGGTGTTTTTTAGCTTGATTGTTTTGTTGTTGTTGGTATTATTTTAACAGTTTGTGTCAAAAATCTACTTTTTCATTAGATTAAATACATTATGTTCAGTAAACATGTTTCTGAAAAATAACTACATTTTCTGTAGGAATATGATATACTAGTTGTAGAGAAATTAGATATACTGTTCTCCATTAAGTAAGATATTTTCTACTGCCATATATTTTTATGAATTTTTTTAGTTTGGTTTTGTTTTTGAGGATTTTTAAAATATTAATATTTACTGTAAAATAGTTATATATTCATATTCAGTTGTAAGAATTATTTACAGAGGTTATGTGTATTTTTTGTTGTCTTACAAGACTATCATATAATGTCACTGCCTAGATATTGACATTTTTGCCCTCTGATTTCTGATGTTACATACACTGCCATTGCTCCTTAGATACGGTGGTTCTTTTGTACGCTTTCAAGATTTTTTTCTTCATCTTTAATTTTTAGAAGTTTCACTCTGATGTGTCCTAGTGTGAATTTCCCCTGGGTTTTTCTTGCTTGGGGTTTGTTTAACTTAGATCTTTTGGTTTATGTTTTGTCAAATCTGGGAGGTTTTCAGCCATTCTGTCCTGGAATGCTTTTCAACCTCACCCTCTTTCTCCTTCCTTTCTTGTTTTCCAACGACTTGAATGTTAGATGTTTTGTTTAGTTCCACAGTTCCTGAGGTGCTATTCATTTTTTTTCAGTCCATAATTTTCTTTTTTCAGATTGGGTTTCTGTCTTCCAGTTCACTGATTCTTTCCTCTCTCCCTTCCATTAGGTTGTTGAGATTATCCACTGAGTTCTTTTATTTTGGTTATTGTATATATCAGTTGCAAAGTTTCATTTTGGATTGTTCTCTTAACTCCTGTTTCTTTGCCAAGATTGACTTTTGATTGTTTTTACTGTCAATAATTGCTCATTGAGTTATTTTCATAGTGACTTTTTGAGATCTCTGTCAGATAATTCTTCTGTGTGCCACCTCATAATCAAGTGTGTTTTTTTTTAAATTTGGGCTGAGACATGATTTTTAAATATAATGGGTATTTACTGACCAAAACATGATAGTCTGTCATGCAGACTATCCTTGAACTTGCTTATATAGTCCAGACTGGCCTCAACCCATAGGAATCCTCCTGCCTCAGCCTCCCGAGTGCTGGGTTTACAGATGTATGCCACCAGGCCTGGTACTAAATATTTAAATGTTCTGTTTTAACTGCTTTTAATAACCACTCTTAGCAGAGTAATTTGGGAGTGCCACCTCATTACTGCCAGGTAGAAGTTGAAACCCAGGTTTCCTGTTTGACTTCTATTGACACTTAAGGAGGAAGGTATTCCTGTTATTGCTGGATAGTGAAGGGATTTCTGGCTTCCAGTAGAGTTTCCACTGGTACCACTCTGGCTAGGTGAGATGGGCCTGCCTTCGTACTGCTCTCTACATGTTCTCTACTGATTTTTAAGTGAGGCTTGGGGACTTTGTCACTAGTGACAGTTTTGGTCTCCACTCAGTGTCTCTGATACCGCAAATGTCTTGTTTATTGCAAATGTCTTGTTTTCGCTACCTCGCAGAGATGAAAGTCCCACCTCATTATTCAGCTTTTTTTTTTCATAGTAACGTAATTGCTTCATTAAGGCACAGTGAGATTAGAAATCTGGATTCTCTGCTTCATTCTTTGCTGCAGGATCACAGATTTTTCTGTTTTGTTTGACCACAGTAAAGTAATTATTGTCTGAAATTTTTCTGTCTTTCCAGGCTGCCCCTGTCCTGTTTCTCTAAAGAGAGAGGACTTTTGTTGTTACTTTTTTGTTTTGTTTGTTGACATGTCTGGGTTGCTGTCTTCAGCTTTAACTCTGGGATTTATGTGGTAGAAAAAGAACTCAAGGAATTCATCGTCATGCAGTTCTTGGATCCTGAGTTCTGAGTTCTCTAGCTCGTCTGCCTTCTCTATCTTTAAAATTCTATTTGTATTCATTCATTTATATTCTCTCTTCCCCTCTGTTCCTCCCTCCCTATAATACATTTTGTCTGGAATTTTTAGCTGTACTTGATGTGAGGAATAAATACCATTTACATGATGTGAATCGCTTTTTAAATGTCAGTTCCTACCATAAATCAGTTTATGCTATAAGATATTTTACTGGTATCAAGTAGTGAAAAATCAAAACTTCTGTTTATATACTATTATGTAAATATTTTACATGTTTATATGTAAGAAATTTTAAATCTATTAATTAAAAATAGAAATTACATCATGAGTACTGTTTCCATTATATACTAAGGACTAGTTATCACCAAATTGGCAGGGTTTTTTTGTTTGTTTGTTTGTGGTACCAGGCTTTGAAATCCTGACCTTACACTTGCCAGGCAGGTGCTTGTGCTACTGAACTAAGTCTCCAGCCCTATTGGCAATATAATTAATATACCAAAAATAGATTATAACTTTAATTCTTTTTATGTCTTAAGCTAGGAAAATTGAAAACGTTATTTCAAATTTAGTATTTCAGGTGGTTTACATGGAACTGACAATTAAAAATACTGATAATTTTTTTTTCTTTTGAGATGTGTTTGGCTACTGGTGTATGGTTCAGTTTGGCCTACAGCTGTGTAATCCTCCTGCCTTAGCCTTCTAAATAGTACTTAAAACTATAGAACCAGGGTTTTTTGTTTCCTTTTTGTTTTTGCGATAGTTATTTTCTTTCTTTCCTATAAAAATGCTTTTAAAAATATCGATTTTTTTGTTTACTTCAAAGAATCAGGGGGTAATCTCAGTGGATATCTTAATAGTAATGGTTAAAATTCTCTATTACATTATAAATTTTATAATTTTTTTTCTAGGTACAGTGAAGGTGAAATTCGATTTAACTTAATGGCCATTGTGTCTGACAGAAAAATGATATATGAACAGAAGATAGCAGAGTTACAAAGACAGCTTGCAGAGGTTTGTGATCATATTTTAAAATAAATTTTTAGTCTAGTTATTCTCAGGGAAAGTTTATTTTTCTTCCTCTTTTTTAAAATATAGATTTGATTAAGTGTCTTGAGTAGAAGTTAAATAAATACTGTATATGCCAGATTTAGGCTGCCTGGCTTTAGTTCTTGTTTTTACTATTTAGTGGATTTCTGTTTCTTCAAGCAGCATGAGGTAATACTTAATAGTGTTTACCTTGATGGTTGTTATGAGCATTAAATGAGACACTTAAAACCATGACTAACAAATCATAAATGCACAGTAAGTACCAGTAGTGAACTGTTTATTATAATTTTTAATATATAATTAATCAAGTTAGAATATATTTCTCAGTGATTTAATTTTATACATTTAGGTTCACACACAGTCTCCTTGTCTTTATGATTATCTTTCGGTAATAAATATGACTAGGAAAGAGAATTAGTAGTAAACAAAATGTTATTTTTTGGTCACATTTTCTTCAAAGTATATGAAAACAAATATATCGTATAGCTTAGAATATTATAGCAGCACAGTATTACAATACAGATTTTTTTTAGGTAAAAATTCAAACATGTTATTATAGAAACAGAACTATAGAAGGTATCATTCAAGTTTTATTTTTTAATGTTGTTTTTAGGCTGATATTCTGTCACCAACATTACAAGTAGAAATTTGAAAAGAGTTGTATTATGTTAATCATTTAAAAGTATTTTGGACATAAACTTCAATCATTAGTGTGTGTTATTTCTTTTTCTTTCTTCTAAGGAGGAACCCATGGATACAGATCAGGGTAATAATATGTTAAGTGCTATTCAGTCAGAAGTTGCCAAAAATCAGATGCTTATTGAAGAAGAAGTACAAAAATTAAAAAGATACAAGGTATGTTTTAAAAAACGTTCCTTTAATATTTTAATAAAAAGCAGGCTATTTTGAGATGAAAGTATGTTGAATACTTGGTTTCTTTGCTTCCTGTCATTTACCAATTTTCAGGATAATGTGTTGATTTTCCGGTACCCTACAAATATAAGTAGTATGATTTCTATTTTATTTTTTGGTGTGCTGGAGATTGAACCCAGCTCCTTGCCCGTGTTAGTCGTGTACTTTACCCTGAGACTATGTCTCCAGCCCAGAATTTTTTTTTAGCAGTTTGATACTTTAGTTCACTGCCATTATTATTCTTAACTATGCTCAGTTAACCTATCTTTGGCCATTGAGAACCACGTTAGGGTGTTTACTAAGTCTTTATGACAGAACACTTTTAGCTTTATATAGCTTCGTTGCTTCCTAGTATGACATGATGTTTCAAACTTATTTGGTGCATGCTTTACTTCAGACTTGGAGTTAACCATTTTTGAAAAAGTCTTTAGTTTTCACAGTAGCAAATGTTATTTAAAATCCGTTACCTGGTTGCTGAGGCCGTTCAGTGCTACTGACTGATCATTTTTAGACCTTCCCAAAGGAAAAAATAGAGCTTTCTTTGTTGCCTTATTTTTGAAATGAAAATAAAAGAAGAATTCATATTAATAATCACAGTTTAGATGAGTTTTATACTTGAAGTTAAGAATTTGCATTTCATCTTTTAAAGCTGAAAAATTCGGTTCCTACCAACTTTTAGCTTATTTTTTTGTTCTATGATATATATGTGTGGTATGTGTTTGTATTAGAAGGCTCAGAATAATAATAGTAGCAGTAATGATAACAATTGAAAAGTTTTTAAAGTTTGTTTTGTTCTTTAACATCCCGTTTTAAACTTTTGATTAAATCACAATGTTTTAAATTTCACTTAATATTTTTTCTCTTGATTTTGCTTTCACATTTTTAGGCTTTTAAAAAATTCGTAATTTTATCAGATATAATTCAAAGTCAAATATAAAATTATAAAAGTAAGGTTCTCTTTAATAGTGGCACTCTCCTTCACTTCTAGTCTGTTTAAGCTTTTTGAGATTTAAAAGAGGAGGCAACTTTGCATTAATGTGACTTTAAATATGTAATTTAGGTTGTCGTACGTCATGTAAGAGGACCCCTTTCATTTGAAGCTTAGTTGAAGACAGGAATTGTCCTTTTCTTTTTGTTGCCCACCAGTGGCAGTATAGTCCGTTGCATCACGTTAAACAGCCAACAAATGACTGTTAAAATAAAATAAATGGACACTGAACTAATAGATTTCTTCAGGTGGAAGTAGCAGGAGCAGGCGGTTCCAAAATCTTCAAGGCTAAACAAAGGGAAGGCCAAGCTTATGGGGACAGGAAAGTGAGTGATGGTAGTATTAACCATTATTTTCCACTTCACATAAAAGCCAAACTCATTATTAATATTCTTTTGCAGGGTTTTTATATAATTAATTTTTAATATCTACCAAAATAAAACAAAAATTAAGTTTTTAGACTTTTTCTGCTGTATTATTTGGTAATGCTTTGTTTTAAAAAGCTGAAATAAGGGGCTGGGGATATAGCTCAGCAGCATAAGCGCCTGCCTTGCAAGCAGGCAGTCATGAGTTTGATCCCCGGTACCGATAAAAACGAAAAAGACAAAAAAGAAAAAAAAAGCTGAAATAATTCTAATTCTTATACTAACAGAAAATGAATACCTGTTGAAATTTAATAGGATTAACTATAGGAACCTACAAAGATGTCACAGGTAGTCCAAAAGGCACCTCAGAGAAGCTAAAATTTTTGTGAAGTAAAAATAATATTGAAATGAATTTTAAAAACATAAAAGCTATTGAAAAAGAGCAGTCAATTGAATCGTGACCAGATAGGAGACTTGTTCATTGCCATCATTAATGAAATGCTAGAATCACATAAAAAATTTGGGCAGAGGCTGGGGATTTAGCTCAGTGGCTTAAGCGCTTGCCTTGTAAGCTCAGGGTTATGAGTTTGATTCCTGGCACAAAAAAAAAGAAAGAAAAAATAGTGCATGGGGCGCGCGTGTGCTGAGGCGAGTGTGTGTGGAGGGAGGGGTAGAGTATTTCCTAAACAATGCAGTATTCTACTACAAGCAGTTTTTTTTTTCTTCCCTAGCATCTCCCTCCACAAAATAAAGCTGGTTTCTCTATGCTTTGTTTGATTATTTGCATAGGAATAGTAACAAGAGTGTTAATTTACCATGTAGAACTTCTTAGGTTTGCTTTTATAATTTATATTTTCATAAACAATCTTAGATTGGATTTTTAAAAGATTTTGCTGAGTGTACTAGAGCTGTGCACAAGAAACTTGCCACATAGTCTATGGTATTAGTCTTTATTCTCAATGGGAATAGAATCTCATTATTTCTAATATTTTTTTCTTATGAGAATGGAAGATTTTATGTCATTCCTATTTTTAATTGGATACAAAATAAAATATCAGAAAACTAGTAGAAATGTAGTATAATATAATGTGTTTATTTCAGATTGAAAATATCAGAAGGAAGCATAATTATTTGCCTTTCATTATGGAATTGTTAAAGACTTTAGCAGAACACCAGCAGTTGATACCACTTGTAGAAAAGGTAAGTGTCGTATTGGTGAGTATTTAAGTTTAGCTTCTTCAAAAACATGAAACATTTAGTTTTGGCATGAGTAGAGATAAAATTTCTTGAAGCTTTTTATAGTTGGGTTTTTTTTCTTTTGCCTAATGTTACATTCTCTGGAGCCATTTAATCCTGATACTGTATAATAAAAATATAGTTGCCCCAGTGATTTAACCTTATAGCATTATTAGTGTCTAGAATTCAGGTTATTAAATATTAAACTGAAATTTAAAACACTATCCTTTCTTTGAACCAAAACAAATTTTTAATGTTAATAATGGAAATAAAGCCAGGTAAAGTGGCACACTCTTATAATCCCAGCACTCAAGAGGATTGCCACCAGTTTAAGGCCGTGCTGGAGTATACAGTGAGTTAAGCCCTTTCTGGGGTTATTGCAAGAGCTTGTTTCAGCCCCGACTCCCCCAAAAAGATTTTGTACTCCCTAATTGGGCAAAAAATTTGGAAGGAGGAAAAAGTAGTCTGGACTAAGAAATGGTTTTTTTTTGTACCAGCAATCAAACTCAGGACCTCGCACTTGCCAGGTAGGCACTTACGCCACTGAGCTAAGTCCCCACCCTATAAATAGATTTTTTTATTCCTTTGTTTGTTTTTTGAGATGGGTTTTACTGTGTAACACAGCCTGGCCTAAACATACTTATATAGCCCTTGCTGGCTTTGAACTCGTGGTGATCCTCTTGCCTCAGCCTCCCAAATGCTGGGATTAGTGGTTTCCACCACTACGCCCAGTGGTTTTCTTATTCCTAATATGTTTCTTCCTCTGAGATGTAATGAACATAAAGTAAGGATGATTTCTGATATTAATGTTAGTGGAAAAAATGAAATGCAGATAAAATTGTTTTATAGTTTATAGTGTAAATCAGCATTTTTGAAAATGACCATAGCTGAATACTCTAAAATATGTGTTACTTGGCCCCTCCCCAGATATATTTTGATAATAGGGGAAGGAATCTTTTAATATAATGTTACCCCAAGTGATTCTAATGCAACTGATCTGTGTACTGGGTTTTGAGAAACACATTGAAAGACAGTACTAGACAAATAAAATTTTGAATCATTAGTTTAGAGACCAGAGTACATGGTAGATGTTATTTTTATTAATGAAAAGTTTACAAAAAAAGTTACATTTCATCTCAGCTGTTTCCTATTACAAATTTCAAGTAATAGATTTTTTTATTTACTTTATTACCTGAAATATGTGACCTTTTCACATTAAATGCAAAAATTATTGTAGAAAATTGCTAATCTCTTCCACATAGGGTTTTTTTGTTTGTTTGGTTGGTTGGTTGGTTGGTTTTTCTTTTTCTTTTTCTTTTTTTTGGTACTAAGAATCAAACTCAGGATCTTGTGCTTGCCGGCAGGCACTGTGCCACTGGGCCATATCCCTGCCTCTGTCACATAGGCTTTTGTATTCATGTCTCTAGGGTATTCCAAGATTTGAAACTGATTTTTAAGTTTTAGATTAACAGTAGTGTCCTATGGGTTTTCAAAATTGCTTAGTGAACAGATTACCTACACCTAGTGTTTTTGTGTCAACAGTATGCAGTATTTCTCTGTTAAAAAAATTAAACAAGGTGGGCATGGTGGTGCATGCCTGTAATTTTGGTAGTTGGGAGGCTAAAGCAGGAAGATCACTGTAAGTTGGAGACTAGCCTGGGCTACATAGTGAGCCTTAACTGTGTAACAACGCCCCTCCCAATAAATAAAATGATAACATATAATGTACTAAGTTATGTGATATATATCACAATTTAATTTTACATAAATTTTATTAAGGACTCAGATGAATTCATTTTATGTTTTTCAAATCCATTTTGTTTCAAAAAGAAAAATAAAATTTCAAAACATGTCAATCAGGGCATAGATGAATTTTAAATATCAATTTTATCTCAGAGTTGATCTTTAAATACAATTTTTTAACACAAATTAGGGGAAGTTTTGTTTTTTGTTTTTTGTTTCATGATCGCATATCCCCAGAGAGAAAGGATTTTCAGTTTTGCTTTAGAACCATAATTTGGTTCATCTTATTTTGGACACAAGGTGGCAGTGCATGATTAACTAAATAGTAGATAACAGTATTTTAGTGTATGTGTTTGCCTTTGTAGTTTTGAGGAAATGGATTTTTGACCTTGTAGTAGTTTGCCTGTTTCTGGAAACTGTTAATACTACTGTGTTAGCAATATTCGTCAATCGTTTACCCAGCAACTGTATTCCTGGCACTTTGTTAAGGGTATATACCTAACTAGTACAAAATGTGGTATCATAACCAGTTCGTGATAGAGTTTGGAAAAGTAATAAAATAAAAGTAACAGAGAAAAGTAATGAAAGCAACAGAGAAAAATAGTGCTGTACTGAATAGTATTCTAATTAATTAGTGCTGGACTAAAATCATACTAAAGATCTTGGGTAAATACAGAGTAACTCCTAAATAACTTTATGGTTGCTTAAAATTTCATATTCACATAACTTTAAAACTGTGATTGAAAGTAATTGTATAATTTGTCAACTTGTCAGCTTAGGAAAAATGCAGTTTGGATTGTTCTATTCTTGAAATAATAGGGTAAAAATTTCCTATTTTGAAAAGAAAATGACATTGAAGTATATCACTTTTCTGCTAATACAAATTTTAAAAATGTAAGTCAAAACATGGGTAGGATGAATTAAGGTTAGATTTTATAATGATATTCAATAAAAAGCTGCATGGAATTAGTGACTACTTGTAATACTTGTAAGAAAAATCTTCAGTGGTCAGAAAAGAATTATTAATCGGATGTTTTTCTTTAAAAAAAAAAGAAAATAGAACACATTATTAAAGAGGTAGGAGGGATAATAAAGACATTACTCCTGTGGACAGTAGTGCTGAATACCAAGCTTGTCCAAAATTAGATATTTTTAATAACCAAGGCAGTTGTCTACAACTTGTAGCATAAAAGTATTTGAGCTAAAATCTTTTCTTTTATACAATAGTAACAAAAGGTAAAGACTTTGATTCTGTCTTAAGCATATGACTATTATAACTAGGTTAAAATCTTAATTCACAAATTTGTTTTTATATAAAGATTATATGTATTCAAAAAATTAAGAAGAAACCTAAAACCAATTATGAAACATTGTTGCATATACCTCATCTGTTTCTTGAAATGTAAAATAAAATGAGCTAGATTAAGATGCTACTTGTGAAACTTCTTTTTCAAAGATTCTTATAATTCTTTTGAAAATTTTCTCTTAACCTGTATGTATAATTCTGAATCATAATCTATCCCAAGTTTTAAACAACTACCTATAACATGTAAAATGTCAAATTGTGGATAAAGTTGCCAGGTTTCCAAAGTCACGTTACAATCTTGAGTTTTGTCCACAAAATTTAAGATACTATGATTCAGTGCATATGGTGGTGCATGCTTATAGTCCCAGCACTCTAAAGGTGGAGGCAGAAAGGTTGCTATAACTTCCAGGCCAGCTTGGACTACATAGTAAATTCAGGGCCATCCTGAAATATATAGTAGAGACCCTGTCGCAAAAAACTGAACCACAAAAAAAAAAAAAAAAAAAAAAGGTTGAAAATAGTTATTCATAATAATTTTTGTGTTAGTATCTGTGGTTATAGAATTGTCTGACACATTAATATTTAATATCACTGGTACACTATAAAAGGAAAAATCTTTTAACTGTATTTGAAGATTTTGTAATATACTGTTTTTACTTTTTAGGCAAAAGAAAAACAGAATGCAAAAAAAGCTCAGGAAACCAAATGAAGAGGATGCTTTGGGATATGTACACAGCTCTCATCTAAACTTATTCTCATGGAAACCATTAAGTTTAAGGGACTTTGGGCAGTGTCCTAATTGACTCAGTCAGTGCACGTTTGGCAAAAGTACCAGTCTATCTTGTCTGTAATGCATGGATCCATAAATTTTTTCCCCACCTGCATCATGTGCATGTAGTGCATATTCAATAAAAGTGATATTAAGAGTGCTTGCCCAAATTTTATTATTTGATATTGGAGCTGAGAATTCTTGTTGTTACTCTGGATATATAACTATGGTCTTGAACCTTGGAAATGCACAAATGATATTCTCTACCTGTTATTCTAATTGATTTTTTTAATTTTTTGCTTCCAGTTTATAAATGTCAACTCTTAAAGTCGGATCTTCTGTTTACTATCATTAATGGAAAATCAGTATTTCTGTCTTTGATATGTTTTGAAGCTCTTACAGGTGAATTTATCATACTAATTATTTGATTTTCGTGCAGATCATTTAAAAAGAATGAAAGTATAATTTCTAGTGATTTTTACTGATGCCAATAGAAGAGGTAATGAATATCCCAATTTTATTTTAGCAAACTTTCTTCTTTGGAGTTAATTGTATCTAAAAAAGTGTAGATATTATACTTCAAAGGAAAATTTCAGGTTAAGAACAAATTGTGAATCTTACAGAGTTTTGGTGTTACTCCATTTGGCAACCTTTATTCATGCTGCTAAACTGTCTTTATTGAAAATTACAGGTTTGACAATTTAGTTTATCTGCTTTAAAAAAAGAATGACAGTGGTAGTAGTGAACCTTTTATGCTAATTTGAACAAAATTAGTGGAGCCCACAATTTTTAAGAGTCATGTACAATTTGCTCATAACAGATTATATTTTTGTCCCTTTTGCGAGTTGCTCTGATTTTCATTTTATAAATTAATATTGTACTATATTCTTGTTTTTAAGCTTCTTTTCTAAGTTAAACTTCAAAGGAAATTTTATAAAGCTTCTTTTTATAAATGAACTAGTGTACTTTTTTTCTTTACCAAGCACATTTTTAAAGTCAATACATGGCCTTTTTAACACCTATTATTTATTGTAAAATAAATTTAATGTAATTTATTTCATTAAGTAGGATGTGTACTCACCTTTCAGCTTTAACACATGACTTTTTAAGAATTGTTTTAAAAGCTTACTAATTGTGGTTTTATTAAATGATTTAGAACCAATGAGAGAAAACCTGGGAGGAAATTGTGAAGAAAAATTAATGAAATATTTTTCGTATATAATTTCAGTTAAAGGTAACAAAGAAATATATGTAGTTTTTCAGTTTTTTGTGGATCAACATGTTTTGGTCTTCATATAATAATAATTATGGAGTGTTGCAAAGCTGTCATACAATTTTCAAAAATACCTTAGCTCATTTTGATCTCCTTTATTTCTACCATTTTACTGAGGCTTAAAGCAATAAGAGATTATTGTAGAAAGTAGTATCTGGTAATCAAATAAAACAGTGGAATAGAAGAGAGTACCTAAAAAGTTTATATTTTTCTGATCACTTGATTTTTAACAAAAGTGACAAAGCAGTCCAACAGGGAAGGAAAATCTTTTCAACAAGTGGGGCCAGAATAAAGTAGCTGAATATCTATATTGGGAAAAATCAACCATGACCCCACTACCTCACCAAAATGAATTTGAGTTGGATCATACACCTAAATGTAATAGCTAAAAAGTATAATGGGTTTTTTTTCTTGTAGAAAACATGGGTGCATATCTTTGTGATATGTGGGTAGCCAAAGGTTTCTTAAATCACAGAAAGCAGTGTCTTTTAAGAGGTTCAGAATTAAAGTCAATCAAAATTAAAAACTCATCATGGAAAGATACTGTTAACAGGAGTAACTAGTATCATATCAAATGACATTTGTAAAGTAGCTTTATAAAACTAGGTTGATAGTTGTAAAAGTTTTTTCTTGTCTAACTCCGATAAGGTTCCTTGATAGGAATTTCTATAGTTGAAGAATGATTTATTTTGTCTGCTTCTTTAATCATTACAAATGCATTGTGACACTTCATGGTTATTTCTGCTTGTGAATAAAGAAGTATGACTTGTCCTTGTCTTGGTCCTGTTGTATTGCTCGTTTGAGGCTGAATTATGAAGCTCATGAGGAATGGAGAAACTAGAGAAATAAGAAACAGTTCACAAATAGATAAATATTAGTTAAGTGGATGTTTGAAGGAATATTTTAAAGAAAAAAAAATTTGTTTACCTCACTTTTGTCACTTACAAAACTTCATTTAAGGACTGGGTAGCTGAAAGCACTTTCGTTTTATACGTTTTTAGAATAAGCAGTTTTGAGGAACGTCCTTCTGCTATTACAAGCAAGGAGACTTGCCAGTGCTGCAGACTGGGTAGTTTCACCTCGTGTGTTTAGCTTCCAAGATAGCTACCTCTTTTCCAGCAGAGAGCAGCCAACTGGACTGTGCCATTAAATGGATAAATATTTGTTCTGAGATCATGACTATGGGGAGTTGCTCTCCTATTTAGGGCTGGCACATATTCTCTGTGTACTGTGATTAATACCTGTGATTCTCCTAGTTGCCTCTAACACTTCAAGATATATTCAGAAATTTTTTTTCCTGTAGAAAGATTCATTTTCCTCTCCCAAAAAAGTTTAGAGGAAATTGATACACAAAAATAAGATTTAATTATCGCATAGATCTACCGAAAAGAATGACCCATGGAACATGGTAGTGTATGTTGTGATCCTTCATCCTTATTGTACACTCACCTGTGCTTAGTCTTGCATTCTCTACCTGTGCTTTGAATTAGGTTTAGTTATATATTATTTTAAAATGTGATAGACAGTTTTTCATTTTTGTATTGATGATGACTGTACGAGAAGCAAACTGCTGCTATTGGGAATTAGTTCCTTGTAAAGTCATTGGCAGATTGGGAGGAATGGACTCAAGTGTTGAGTCCAGAAAAAGTCCCAGCAAAGCACATATGCAGTGCTATTGGCCCACCAGCAGAACCCTGCAGTGAAGGAGTTCATCACTAACTATGGAAGTTAGAATTATGTTGTAGTAGTTCTGTTCCAGGAGTGAGGAACCCACTGCAACTATCTGTTGATATGCAGGGTATATACATTCTCTGCATGACTAGACGTGCCACTTGAAAACATCTGAAACAAGTCAGTTGGCTTCTGTGTTACATTTGTTTTTAATTTCTTACATGAACTTTTCTGCAAGGGATTACTGGGAAATTTTCTTTTTAGCTTTCTTGTCTGTATGTAGCATGGGAATACATACTATTGGGGGGGTTGGCATTGGAAATGAATGCAAGTCCAATCACAGTAATGCACTTTTCTACATTAAAACATTTTTTCTTTTTACTTAAGTAGTACATGTTGATTTTAGAGAAATGAAAGGTACAAAGGAAAAAAACAAACCCTATATTCAGAATAGTTAGAATTTTGAAGTATATTTAACTGCATTTACATTCAGGTATGTCTAAACTTCTTTTTACAAATTTGTTACGTACTTTTACCTCATAAGCTTTCTATCAATAAATATGCTTACATCTTTTTAGTGGCCAACTAGTGTTTCATTATATAGATATGCTTTAATGTGTTTAACAAGCCTCATAGTAAAGAATAAAATATATAAATACAAAGGGTAAACTGGGTAGTTCGATTTTTTTAGGGTAAGATTTTATTGTGTGTTTTTGAGACATTTTACTATATAGTTTTATATAGTTTATGAACTCACTGTGTATCCCATGTTGGCCTCGAACTCACAGCAGACCTCCTGCCTCCGCCCCCCCCCCCCAAGTGCTGGGATTGCAGGTGTGTGCTACTGCATCCCGAAAGATTTTATTTTTAAAGTAGTGTAAATTTCCTTTCTCTTTTTTTTTCCCCCCCACTGCTGGTGATTGAACTCACCTCATGTTTGCCAAGGAGGCACTTAGGCTGCTAAGCTAAACCCCCAGCCAAAAGTAGTGTAAATGTCTAAAAAACACGCATATTCTTTCCATAATACATCTTTAACTGGCCTTAATCCATTGATGGTTGTAAAGGTTCACCTCTTCTAACTTACCTGATTTTTTATTTTGATTTGATTATATAACTATATCAAGATTGTTCTAGATCCTAGAGATATAGTGGTGAAGAATATAAAGCCCTTTGCCCTCATACTGATAAACTATCTTGTAATTTTTCAAGTAGTAGTAGAAAATGCAAAAATAGAACAGGATAGACAGCTGAATAAAACAGATTTGACTAGGTCAAGTACAGTGCTTTTAAGAGATAATGTTTAAGCAGAGACCCAAACAGTTTTCTTAATGTACCATGTCCTTTTAGTTTTTTTCTGTTTTACACAATATACTTCTCTGATCATTTCTTTTAATGATAACATTGACTAAAACACAAAATGGGTGGGGGAAAAATCTCATACAGGTGCGTTTGTAAAAATAAATTAGCTTCCCCCACCATGACTAAGATGTAACTCATTAAAACAATGAAATTACCAGAAACGATATGGCAGAATAGTTTTATCATTTGGAAATAGAGATAAAAGCTTTTAAAGCAAGAAACAAACATTAAAAAGAAGAGAAATATTTGACTGTAAAAGTTAAAAATTTCTATACAGCAGTAGATGCCATAAAACCTTGAAAGATAGCAAACCAACAACATTTTGCCACACAAAATACGTTGATATTAGAAATTTAATTGATGTCTAATACACAGAGATCTACCAAGGAAGAGAAGCAGGTGAGGAAAACTGATGTGAAAAGGTAATTCACAGAAATTAAAATGGCTAATAATCATTCTAAGTCACACTAGTATTCCAGAAAATGCAATTTTTTTTTTCTTTTTTGGCATTGGGGATTGAACTCATGACCTCGCACTTGCCAGGCAGGTGCTTACACCACTGACTAAACCCCAGCCCAGAAAATGCTAGTAAAAACAGTAAATGCCCTTCCTTTTGCTCTTCTTTCCTCTCCCTCATTTCTACCCCTTTATTCTTTCTTTTTTCCTTCCTCTTTGTCTTCTTCCTCCTTCCCTTTCTTTGCTAATTCTTTTAGATAATATGATATCTAGGATAAGTCTTTATGATCCTTCTCACACTTCTACTGTTCTTCCTATTAGAATGATTTTTAGAAGTGCAAGTTTCATTACAGAATTGTACAATAAAAGCACTTAAGTGAAAAAAGTATCTGGATTTATTAAGAAGCTTTGTAGGAGACACATGACCTTTGCTGAGTTATTAATGCATACAGTAAATAGTAATGATGAGCTCTGGGATTCACTGGTTCCCTGAAGGTTGATAATTACGAATTTGATCAGAAGCTGACAAAAACTTCAGGCATGGCCTCTGCCAAGCAATGTCCTAATGAGGTTACTATGATCCTGGCTTATGATTTGAGTATACATATTCAAAGTAATGAGGACTTTGGATAGTTAAGCCAGTTTAATAAAACTTGCAGGAGACTAATGTATACTTGAGAATATAATTTATTAATTTATGTGTACAATAGTAACTGCCAGCTGACTAGACATTTTTATCAGCTATAAATACATTCTCTCCCTGGTAGGTAAACTTAACCAAGGAAACCAAATTAAGACCAGAAGGAAATTGTTTTTTTAGAGATACTGGGATGACCTTTGACATTTTGCCATGCTAGATGTCAACTAAATATACCTGTTCCATTACATATCTGTTAAAAATGTACTGTACCCTTTTATATGTTGCTAAAAAGGACAAAAGTTTACACAATTACCATTTTTCTGCTTAACATTTTCTTGTTTCCTTTACTGTGTCAAATTTTCTGCTTCACATTTTCTTGTTTCTTTTCCTGTGTCAAATTTTTACAATTTAAATTTGTGTTTGTCTTTAAGTTTGAGCTGGCATTTTAGGGGCATTCTAGAGGCTCCTTGATCTAATTTTTAAAAATGGCTCCAGGTTGGAGTACCATTTTTATAATATATGTAACATTTATCTATGAGGAATTAATGTTTCTACTCCAATGGTGCCAATATGACATTTCTTAATATTTTATGCTGAAATAGTCTATTTTATTTATAAGTTTAGAGCACTTAACCATTTTCCATGTTCTTCAATTTCAGCACTTGGAAGATCATGTTTTTGGACTTCACCGAAGAAGAGCTATTTGAAAAGGTGATAATACAGTAGTTCAGAAGAATGGAACAGAGGTAAATAATTGAGAAAATGCTTCCTCCTGAAGCAGATGTTCTTGTCTCCATAGACGAACTAGAAAGTTTTAAACATAAAGCAGATCATGAGAGATGTCTTGGATTTTATAGAGTTACAAGAAGCATGTAAATAGGATATATCACAAAATAAAATTGCCGTAGTAAATGCAAAATGAGAAATTCTTGACGAATGTAGAGGAAAAGGTCAAAGAAACACAGATGTGAAAAAAGAAAAAGATGTAAAGGATCCATCCAGGGGATGTAGTTTATGTGTGACAGGAATACCTGAAGCAAGAAAAAGGAAATGAATTCAAAACAGTAAGGAACTAGCTGAAGAAAACTTTCCAGAGTTGAAGAAGGAAGTAGACCTGTAAATGAAGAAGACTCACAGAGTACCTTCAAAATTTAATTCAAAGAAAACAACAGTTGGACATATTCTGGTGACTTTTGCATTTCAAGGATAAAGAAAAAAATTTGCAAGTACCCCTTACGAAGAAAATATGTTATGTGACACCCATAATTTAAAGTAAGGAAAAAAGTAAAGATCCAGTTCACATCCTAGAAGTGAAAGGCAAAAGAAAAGAAAACACCCTTCAGTTTCCTCACTCCGTTAGCAGCACACCTTTTAAGAAGTGCTGTTTTTACTCATGGTTTTGTCTTCTCTCCTTTCATTTTCTCTTAAAACCATGCTGGAGCAAGCCTGTAGTTGCTTCACTATGGGATACTCAGACAGGAGGATCACAAGTTCAACCACAAGCCCTTCACACTAAGCTACATCCTTAGCCCCTTTTATTTTTTATTTCATCTCATCTAGCTTACTAGGCGACAAAACAATTAAGCCAAAACTTATAAAATATCTTGTTTTTGTAGGCCTGGTGGCTCATGACTGTAATTCCAGC